TACTCGGCCTTGTCTCAGGATTGTAAGTTGGTGGTTGGGGATATCCCTCTAGTGGTGCGGGGGCTGTGCTTTGGCGGAGTGGGTGGGGTTATATCCTTCCTGTTTGGCCCTGTCCGGGGGTTTCTTCGGATGGGGCCACATTGTCTCCGGACCGCTCCTGTCTCAGCCTCCAGTATTTATGCTGCAGTAGTTTATGTGTCGGGGGGCTGGGGTTAGTTGGTTATACCTGGAGTACTTCTCCTGTCTTATCCAGTGTCCTGTGTGAATTTAAGTATGCTCTCTCTAATTCTCTCGTTCTCTCTTTCTCTCTGAGAACCTGAGCCCTAGGACCATACGTCAGGACTACCGGGCATGATGACACCTTGCTGTCCCCAGTCCGCCTGGCCTTGCTGCTATTCCAGTTTCAACTGTTCTGCCTGCGGCTACGAAACCCCTACCTGTCCCAGACCTGCTGTTTTCAACTCTTAATGATCGGCTATGAAAAGCCAACTGAGAGACCTGAGCCCTAGGACCATACGTCGGGACTACCGGCCGTGGTGACTCCTTGCTGTCCCCAGTCCGCCTGGCCTTGCTGCTATTCCAGTTTCAACTGTTCTGCCTGCGGTTATGGAACCCCTACCTGTCCCAGACCTGCTGTTTTCAACTCTTAATGATCGGCTATGAAAAGCCAACTGAGATTTATTCCTGATTATTATTTGACCATGCTTGTCACTTATGAACATTTTTGAACATCTTGGCATGGTTCTGTTATAATCTCCACCCGGTACAGCCAGAAGAGGACTGGCCACCCCTCATAGCCTGGTTCCTCTCTAGGTTTCTTCCTAGGTTTTGCCTTTCTAGGGAGTTTTTCCTAGCCACCGTGCTTCTACACCTGCATTACTAGCTGTTTGGGGTTTTAGGCTGGGTTTCTGTACAGCACTTCGAGATATTAGCTGATGTAAGAAGGGCTATATAAAATAAAATTGATTGATTGATTGATGGAGCCCCAGATCGAGGGAGATTATCAGTGGTCTTGTATGTCTTCCATTTCCTAATAATTGCTCCCACAGTTGATTTCTTCAAACCAAGCTGCTTACCTATTGCAGATTCAGTCTTCCCAGCCTGGTGCAGGTCTACAATTTTGTTTCTGGTGTCCTTTGACAGCTCTTTGGTCTTGGCCATAGTGGAGTTTGGAGTGTGACTGTTTGAGGTTGTGGACAGGTGTCTTTTATACTGATAACAAGTTCAAACAGGTGCCATTAATACAGGTAACGAGTGGAGGACAGAGGAGCCTCTTAAAGAAGAAGTTACAGGTCTGTGAGAGCCAGAAATCTTGCTTGTTTGTAGGTGACCAAACACTTATTTTCCACCATAATTTGCAAATAAATTCATAAAAAATCCTACAATGTGATTTTCTGGATTTTTTTTCCTAATTTTGTCTGTCATAGTTGACGTGTACCTATGATGAAAATTACAGGCCTCTCTCATCTTTTTAAGTGGGAGAACTTGCACAATTGGTGGCTGACTAAATACTTTATTTCCCCACTGTATGTGCTTTCTTGAGCAGGGGGACCTTGCGGGCGCTGCAGGATTTCAGTCCTTCACGGCGTAGTGTGTTACCAATTGTTTTCTTGGTGACTATGGTCCCAGCTGCCTTGAGATCATTGACAAGATCCTCCCGTGTAGTTCTGGGCTGATTCCTCACCGTTCTCATGATCATTGCAACTCCACGAGGTGAGATCTTGCATGGAGCCCCAGGCCGAGGGAGATTGACAGTTATTTTGTGTTTCTTCCATTTGTGAATAATCGCACCAACTGTTGTCACCTTCTCACCAAGCTGCTTGGCGATGGTCTTGCAGCCCATTCCAGCCTTGTTTAGGTCTACAATCTTGTCCTTGACATCCTTGGAGAGCTCTTTGGTCTTGGCCATGGTGGAGAGTTTGGAATCTGATTGATTGATTGCTTCTGTGGACAGGTGTCTTTTATACAGGTAACAAGCTGAGATTAGGAGCACTCCCTTTAAGAGTGTGCTCCTAACCTCAGCTCATTACCTGTATAAAAGACACCTGGGAGCCAGACATCTTTCTGATTGAGAGAGGGTCAAATACTTATTTCCCTCATTAAAATGCAAATCAATTTATAACATTTTTGAAATGCGTTTTTCTGTATTTTGTTGTTGTTATTCTGTCTCTCACTGTTCAAATAAACCTACCATTAAAATTATAGACTGATCATTTCTTTGTCAGTGGGCAAACGTACAAAATCAGCAGGGGATCAAATACTTTTTTCCCTCACTGTAAATGTGTTTTAGTCAAATTGTCTATATAATCTCAAATATAAAATATATTTTGATTTGTTTAACACTTTGTTGGTTACTACATGATTCCATATGTTATTTCATAGTTTTGATGTCTTCACTATTATTCTACAATGTAGTAAATAGTGAAAATAAATAAAAACCCTTGAATGAGTAGGTGTTCTAAAACTTTTGCCCGGTAGTGTATAAAGCCGTTATTACAGCAGACTAAAAACAATTTTATGCATTCGTGAATTTATTGTTTAGGCTAATTATTCAAAGCTCCCTTTGTTATTTAATATTAAAACTAAAATGCTTGATTGCATTTCAAAGCATGAATGTCATCATTATATGCTGTGTGATTGCATGAATGAGTGAATGATTGATACAGTAACCTATATATTGAAATATAGGCCTAAGTAAGTTACGGTATTTAGACAAAACAGGACGCTCTCTTCGGCCTACAGCTCGATGGTGGTTATACAAGGCTATTATACAAAGCCTACTAATGATAACGACATTACTTAATATTATAATGATGATTATAATAATCATTGTAATAACAATAAGGAGATCAAGAAAAAAGAGGGTATAGGAGCGAGATCTGCGTGCATTTTATGTGTGACAAACAGGTGCTGTTAGATTACAATGTTCTTTTTCTGTCTGTTTGGAACAGTGTAAACAACACGAAATAAATTATCATTAACACCAGTTTGTTCTAAATAAATAAATGGTAAAGCCTTTATTACAGCATAGCAAAGATGAAAAACAGCTGAATCTGTGAAATTGCTTTATCTGACATTTTGCCGTTGCATGAGGCTTGGTGCTCATGGAATCAGTAGGCTATTAAACAAACACTCAAACAGGCAACAGAAGCAGGATCTGTCTTATTTCTGTATATATGGGTGATTTATAAAGCCAGGCACATTTAACAGTTCGGCTATTGATTATAGACCTAATTTCCTCTCTCCTCAATTTTCTTAGACAATTAGGCTAGGGCAAAGGCTGTTTCCTCGTCTCTACTGCTGCCTCCGCCGCATTGTTCTCAATCTCAATATGCTGGTTAACTTTGCTATTATTCACATAGCAACATAGTGAAAGGCGCCAATTCTACGGCGCACTGAAGATTGTTTCAGAACTGCGGACAGCGACCTTATCCAACGGGGGAGAAAGCAAATATTTTATATAATGACATATTTATATGTTGTGTATTTTTTACTAATATAACATATTCAGACCCTTGATTTATATGTTTTACAGCCTATTCGAAATGATTGAATTGTTTGTTTTCCTATCAATCTAACAAATACCCATAATGACAAGTATCGACCTTTACTCAGACTGTTGAAGCCCTTTGGAGCGATTAGTTGGTTTCTTGGTAGCCGCTGAAACACATCCCCACAGATATGACCGCCACCATGTGTCCACCGTATGGTGCAGGTTCCTGCAATGTGACGCTTGACATTCAGCCGTTATTCGGTTTCTCAGACCAAGAACCTGTTCTCATGGTCGATCCTTAGGTGCCTTTGGCAAACTCAAGGGGCTGTTTGTTTTTAAGGGGGCTTCCGTCTGGCCACTCTCAAAAGGCTGTGGGGGAGTGCGCGAGATGTTTCCTTCTGGAGGTCTCCCTCTCCACAGAGGAACTCTGAGCTTGTCAGTGACCATCAGGTTCTGGTCACCTCCCTGCCAGAGCTCTTGTCCCCGATGCTCATTGCCGGCGGCCAGCTCTAAAAGTTTGTGACTTCTTCCATAAGAGTGGAGGACGCGTGTTTTTGGGACCTCAAAGGCAGACTTTTTGGTACCTTCCCCATATCTGGCCTGACTCAATCCGTACTGAGCGAAGGCCATCCTTCACCTCATGGCTTAGATTTGCTCGACTGCACTGTCAACTGTGGGACCTTATACGGTGGTGCCTTTCCAAATCAGTCCAATCAATTGAATCACACGTGGACTCCAATGGTTTAGAAACGTTCAGATTGATCAGTGAAAACAGGTCTGAATACTTATGTTTATTGTTTTTTATTTAATACATTTGCAATGTTAAAACCTGTTAGTCATTATGGGGTTTGTTGTAGTTGATGAGGACGTTTTTTTTTGTAATCAGTTTTAAATTAGGCTGTAAAAACAGGAAGGGGGTCTGAATACTTTCAGAATGCACTGTATACAATTTCAGTCTCATGTCTTAGAGGGATGGTCTGTGCCATCCCTGTGGCCTCCACAATGGATTAGTCCACTGAGACAGGCACAAATCAGACAGCTGTCTTGTGCACCATCAAATAAAAGTATTGCGACTGCTCGACTAAAGAAATCTCGACCAGTCGACTAAATGGGGTCAGCCCTAACGTGTATGGTTTGTTAAACTTTAGTCAATGTTTATTGCTTGGCATACATTTTAAAGTGTCACTATGTTACTGTGGAATTGCCCCTCTACATGTTGAACAACGGTGATACTTCAGGATGCCAGTTGGTCTTGTGCTTGTCCAGTGTGTTTAAAACACAGATAGATATATCTTGGTAATAGATTTGAAACAGCCTAGCTGTAATTATATAGGGAACAATATAAATGCATTAGTATCAGCTAGTTTTTAGTCATGCAGACGTTACCATTAGCTATGGACATGCTCACTAAATGCAGAACAAATGCCTCAGTCGAACCCCGTCATAGTTGTACAATGTTCCTGGTGATTTCTGTATTGTGACTTGCGGTCGTTTCCCATCCTTTCCCAGGTGTTTGAAGAAGCAGATATCCTGTCTGACCTGTTGACACCAGAGCTGAACTACAAACTCTGCGTACATGGCACCCTCAAGTTGACACCATGGCCCAGATATCCAGTGGCAATGGGTTCAAGCTGGACATGGCCCAGCCCAAGGGGGTTGTGGGTAAGGAGGAGGCCCTTCGTATGGAGGCGGAGGCCTTAGCAAAACTACAAAGGGAGAAGAGACAGACGCTCCCGGCGACCACCACCTCCTCCTCTTCCACCTCTTCTTCTTCTGCTTCCTCAAAAAAAAAACTTCCCGCCGCTGCCAGGCCTACTTCCTCCAGCAACCGACCGGAGAAGGACCTCATTGTCTTCCCAGAGGCCAAGAAGCATGCAGAGAAGGACAAGTTCCGGGACATCGACGTCGACAAGCTGACCAACAAGGAGCTTGAGAAGCTCCTGCTGGACGACAGCTTTGGGGCCAACAGCAGCAAGGCCTCACGGCCCTCCTTGCTGCTGGGGTTCAACCTCAGCGCCTCCTACCCGGGGGGCCACGCCACCTGCAGCCCCTCACATTTGCACAGCGGCCAGTGGATGCCCTCCTTGCTCTCCACGCCCTCCAGTTCGTGCGTGTTCACGCCCACCCACCAGCAGGCTCCCATGTTCCCTTCTGCTCCGTTCCCTAAGCCCGAAAACTTCTCCTTCTGCAACGGCTTTTCACCGGCCATGCCGCCCTACATGGGCCTGCATGGCCCGCAGACCTCCTTCATGGCCTTCACTCCCATCCAGCAGCCTGGGGCCATGGTGTTCCAGCAGCCCACCGTCACCCTGGAGATGGCCAAGCTCTTCGACAAGATCCACAGCACCTCAGAATACTTGAAGAACGGCAGGTCGGCCAGCACAGACCTAGATTCTGCGTCGACCAGCGCCGTGTCCCTGGCGCCCAACCCACCGCCACCTGCCGTGGAATCCCCCACTGTCAGCCGCTTTGAGTGGCTGGACCTGGACCCACTCAACAAGCGCAAAGCCGAGGGCGAGGAGGGCTCCTCCCCGGCATCACGCGGTACATTAATGGTGGTGGGAGGGGACCCCTGGGATGCTGTGCTGTTCGACGAGACGGAGGGCGGGGCTGGCGGCAGCAGTCCACCTGTGGAGGTGAAGGGTCAACTCGCAGGTCGCTCTCATCCCCGGAGGTCGTCGACGGGGGCAGCAGTCACTAGGAACCACACCCTGACCATCCCGGCGTCCTCGTCCCAGCACAAGCCAAACAATCAGGTACGTCTAGTAATCTAACGGTAAAAAAAGATCATACAAACTCCCTCCAAAGGAAATCTGTATACAACCCCACCACAGCCTAAACAGGCAGTCATAACACAGCCAAAACAACCAAGTTCTACCGTGGCTCAAATAAAAATGGATTAAATCGAGATTTTGGGTCACTGGCCTACACACAATACCCCATAATGTCAAAGTGGAACTATGTTTTAACGATTTTTTTTAACAAATGAATAAAAATGAGAAGCTGAAATGTCTTGAGTCAATAAGTATACAACCCCTTTGTTATGGCAAGCCTAAATAAGTTCAGGAGTCAAAATTAGCTTAACAAGTCACATAATAAGTTGCATGGACTCACTCTGTGTGCAATAATAGTGTGTAACATGACTTTTTAATGACTGCCTCATCTCTGTACCCCACACATACAATTATCTGTAAGGTCCCTTAGTCGAGCAGTGAATTTCAAACACAGATTCAACCACAAAGACCAGGGAGGTTTTCCAATGCCTCGCAAAGAAGGGCACCTATTGGTAGATGGGTAAAAATAAAAAAGCAGACATTGAATATCCCTTTGTGCATAGTGAAGTTATGAATTACACTTTGGATGGGGTATCAATACACCCAGTCACTACAAAGATAAAGGTGTCCTTCCTAACTATTTTGCCGGAGAGGAAGGAAACCGCTCAGGGATGTCACCATGAGGCCAATGGTGACTTTAAACACGCTCTTATCCAGAGCGACTTACAGGAGCAATTAGGGTTAAGTGCCTTGCTAAGGGCACACTTACGTCATTTAGCAACGCCTATCCAGACACTCACCAAATGTCTTACACCCTAAGAGTGGTAACCACTTCACAATTAAGGGGGCGAAACGAAACAGTTTAGGCTCAACTAAAAATGCATTAATCGAGATTTGTCACTCTAACACACCATATGTCAGTGGACAATCTCACGATTTTTTGTAACAATGATAAACTCGAAGTCCGGCTGTAATGTCTTGAGTCATGTTACCAACCCCTTTGTCCATGGCAAGCCAAAACAGTTTCTGGGCAAAAGCGTTAACATCATGCTTCACAGTGATGGGACCACCGTGGCCAAGAGTGGTAACATGACTTAATGACTCCTTTCTGGTACCCACAATCAAGTACTGTAGCCCTTAGTCCAGTCGCTCAATTTCACACAGATCAACCCTAAGACGAGGAGTTTTCCATGCTCGCAAAGAGATGGGATGCATCAACAACATTGTAGTTACTCCACAATACTAACCTAAATGACAGAGTGAAAAGAAGGAAGCCTGTATAGAATAAAAAATATTCCAAAACATGCATCCTGTTCGCAATAAGTCACTAAAGTAAAACTGCAAAAAAAAATAACTTCATGTCCTGAATACAAAGCGTTATGTTTGGGGAAAACACAACACATCACTGAGTACCGCCCTTCATATTTTCAAGCTTGGTGGTGGCTGCATTATGTTATGGGTATGCTTGTCATCGGCAAGGACTAAGGAGTTTTTTAGGATAAAAATAAACGGAATAGAGCTAAGCACAGGCAGAATCCTAGAGGAAGACCTGGTTCAGTTTGCTTTCCAACAGACGCTGGGAGACAAATTCACCTTTCAGAAGGACAATAACCTAAAACACAAGGCCAAATATACACAGGAGTTGCTTACCAAGACAACATTGAATGTTCCTGAGTGGCCTATTTACAGTTTGAACTTAAATCTGCTTGAAATTCTATGGCAAGACTTGAAAATGACTGTGATCAACAACCAAAACAATAATGTGCAAATATTGTACAGTCCAGGCATGCAAAGCCCTTGGAGACTTACCCAGAAAGACTCAGAGCTGTAATCGCTGCCTAAGGTGATACTAACATGTATTGATTCAGGGGTGTGAATACTTTGATTTCTTTATTTCATGTTTTATAAATGTGCAAACATTTCAAAAAAATATGTTTTCACTTTGTCATTATGGGATATTGTGTGTAGATCGGTGAGAAAAAAAATCGATTTAATCCATTTTGATTTCAGGCTGTAATACAACAAAATGTGGAATAAGTCAAGGGGTATGAATACTTTCTGAAGGCACTGTATGTATGTGGACTGTTGATCAATGGGTGTTAAAATTAGAGTGTGCTTAAGTGTTTATATAAGGTAGTTCCACGAAATGATTCACTTTCGGGTAGTGTAACTTGGTGAAACAGAGTACTGTTTTATTTCACAAAATGTTTACATTCTGTCATGACGAGCACATGTTCAACTTAATAAAAAACATGTTTTCCTATCGCAAGAGGTTAAATAAATAAAAATGTCTATAGTAAGTGCCAAATAAATTAAGTGACCATAACAAGGTTGACAATTTCATCTTAAATCAGCCATAAATCTCCTTGTGTCAGTGGGAATGGAAGCTTGTGTTCAACAGGGACGGCAATTAAAGGGCCAACTTCACCAAAACATGTACATTGTTAAACCATTTCTAGCCTGTCTATTTATGGCTAATAGGGTTTTGCTCAACCCACTCAGTTTTCCACCACGAAACACCAGCAAATTGTGGAAAAGAGTAGAACCAGCTCACCTGCGTTTACATTTTACATTTTTGTCATTTAGCAGACGCTCTTATCCAGAGCGACTTACAGTTAGTGCATACATTTTTTTCAACCCCCCCCCCCCCCCCCCCCCCCCCCGTACAATATGATTTGACTATTAGATGTTCAATGTTTCTGAAAAAAATATATGTTTTTACCAAAAAAAGAGTTAAACCATATTAAAACGAGAGTTCCATTTACGTGACAGGGTTTCCGTTAAAATGTCTTATGAAAGCAACAAAATAACGAGGGCTTTACAATGATGGTGAAAACTTGCATACATCTTGGGGTTAAGTTGGTAAAAATGTTCAGATATGTCCCAGGGAGTGCACAGAAGGATGTGTCAAAATGCTGAATCTTAGCACTTTATCAAGTCTTTTTATTAATATTAAACATCTGATTTATTGAATTTTCCATGTGGTCTATATTAAAGGACACTTCATTTAATATAACAGGCTATTAAAATCCAATATTGGTGCACCATTTCTACTTAAGATATCAAAGGGACGCAAAGGGGACTCGTTTGTGGAACTACCCAGGCCACCTCAGCACGCACCTTCTCTTCTTCCTCCATTTCAACAGCTTTTCACACCTCTGCGCGGCTCTGCAAAAACATCTGTCTCATTAGGTATAATTATCATGCAATTAAGACCAAATTATAACCATGTGTCTTCTGCTGCGTTCTGTTCTCTTTCATACGCTCTGTGTGGTGGTGGATAGATAGGCCTACAGAGTGACGGCTCTGTGTGGTGGTGGATAGATAGGCCTACAGAGTGACGGCTCTGTGTGGTGGTGGATAGATAGGCCTACAGAGTGACGGCTCTGTGTGGTGGTGGATAGATAGGCCTACAGAGTGACGGCTCTGTGTGGTGGTGGATAGATAGGCCTACAGAGTGACGGCTCTGTGTGGTGGTGGATAGATAGGCCTACAGAGTGACGGCTCTGTGTGGTGGTGGATAGATAGGCCTACAGAGTGACGGCTCTGTGTGGTGGTGGATAGATAGGCCTACAGAGTGACGGCTCTGTGTGGTGGTGGATAGATAGGCCTACAGAGTGACGGCTCTGTGTGGTGGTGGATAGATAGGCCTACAGAGTGACGGCTCTGTGTGGTGGTGGATAGATAGGCCTACAGAGTGACGGCTCTGTGTGGTGGTGGATAGATAGGCCTACAGAGTGACGGCTCTGTGTGGTGGTGGATAGATAGGCCTACAGAGTGACGGCTCTGTGTGGTGGTGGATAGATAGGCCTACAGAGTGACGGCTCTGTGTGGTGGTGGATAGATAGGCCCTACAGAGTGACGTATGGCTACAAGTAAACTCAGTGACTCACAAGTCAATTATCTCTGTCTTCTCCACCCCTCACCTTTCACCCTGTTTAGTCACAACAAACAGGAAGTGCCTTGTGGGTAGAAATTGTAGTTGAGAGCCAGACACCAACGGAATCCTCTGAATCAGCTGATTAAGTCCTAGATAACAACAACACAACAACAACAACAACCGCAACCTTTGTTGAAAAATGAGATTTCTATAATGTCACAGTGGAGGTTAGGAGAGAGGAATCACTAACTTTCTGATCGAAAGAGGAAGTCAAACTGTATTTGGTTCACTGGTTCTCCTGACATAGCTTATGTTAGAAAGTGTAAACCAGGAAGAATCAAATCAAAATCAAATTGTATTTTTTGTATGCGCCGAATGCAACAGGTGTAGACTTTACCATAAAATGTTACTTACGTGCCCTTTCCCAACAATGCAGAGTTAAAAAGTAAGCAAAGAAAATAGAATAGTAATACAATAAATAACAATAATGAGGCTAGATACAAGGAGTACCAGTACCGAGTCAATGTGCAGGGGTATGAGGTAGTTGAGGTAATATGTACATGTAGGTAAGGGTAAAAGTGACTAGGAAATGAGTATAGATAATAAACAGAGTAACAGCAGCGTACTGTATGTGGAGTGTGTGAAGTTGTGTGTGTGTGTGTGTGAGCATGTGGAAGTGTTTAAAACACACCTTTTTAGCTTTGCTTTTCCTTACGGTGTTTTTTTAGTCCTTCAGTTTTATTGTTATTATTTAGTTTTTTATCTTATGTTTGTTGTGTAGTAAAGAAATATTTCAGTTTTATTTTCATTGTTTTTATTTGTATTTTCCTGTGAAGCGCGTTGCGTTGCATTCCATGTCTGAAATGTGCTGTAAAATAACGCTTGATTTGATTTGAACTATACTAACGGGACGTTTTGTTAGTCCCCACAAGGTCAAATGCTATTTCTAAGGGGTTTAGGGTTAAGGTAGTATTAGGGTTAGTTTTAGGGGTTAAGGTTATGGGTTACCCCACAATGTTACTTAAACAAGACTGTATGTGTGTGGGGAGAGTCCAGTGAGTGTTCATTGGGTCAGTGTAAGAGAGTCAGTGCAAAAAAGGGTCAATGCAATAGTCCGGGTAGCCATTTGATTAAGAATAGTGGAAAGGTTGAGGAAAGTACAATAGACTCATGTCAATGGAAGTCTACAGTATTAGTAAGCCACTAAAAACCTGGGCCAGTGAAGTAGGTACCATTCTTGGACTGTATATACAGGCAGCAAACCAGCACAAGCCTGGGACAATGAAGTGGTGTACTCTACCATTTTAAGACCGACCCAAGACAGAGAAGCTGTAAAGCAGTCCGGACCTGACTCAGAACAGTAGGGTGACTAGACCAAAGCCAACCAGAACGGATGAATGATGTGGATGGTGTGAGTCACATGGGCCATACCCATCCCCTCAGGTTCCTTTCTCCCCCCCCCCCCCCCCCCCCCCCCCATTAAAAGCTGCTCAGAGGATGAATTGGAGAAAACAAAGACAGGCCTGTCTAACTGTACAGCCTGGTGTCTGTCCTGCAGGCTGTGTGTGTGTGTGTGTGTGTGTGTGTGTGTGTGTGTGTGTGATCATCTCCGCCTCATTGGATTATCTCTGCGTGTTTGTTTTCGATGAAAGGATCGTGTCTCAAAACACAAACACGGCTAATGCCTCTCACTCTTTTCCTGCCAACTGGAGACCTGGCTAGCTGGGATCTGTGTACAAGGTCCTCAGAGAGCGAGAGATTGCCATCTCTTGCCTGGTGCTGAGACACTGCGCCTACTGAGACACGCTGATTTGCTGAGATGCTATGGGATCAAGTCCTCAGAGAGAAGATTGCATCTCTGCGTGCAGCGCTACTAAAGCTGATTTGTAATGTCCAAAACAAAATGTTAGTTTCTGTAAGAGTTCTCTGTAAAATGGGTCGTGTTTATTAGGCCACACAAACAGAAAACGTTTAAACCGCTTTGCAATGGAAAACGAAAATGAGCATTTTCTTATAGGACAAGTCCAGGTAGTCCCTCCATAGTTCAGTCCGTTTTCTTCCATTTGGTGCCTAATGAACACAACCCTGATGCCTTTGCTTGTGGAGTGGAGTTTTTATAGGAACCCCCAAGCTGAACAAAGTAGCTCATAAAATAATGCTACATCTCCGTCATTGTCTGTCTCTTTTGTTCTTGCCCCCGAAAATGACAAACATACAGAAGGCAGACTGATATGTTGCAATATATCATTAACATTGTACTTCTCAGGTCAGCAATTACAAAAAGACACAGTCATAACATCCAATTAACGTAAACATCTGTAAAGATGGGACTTTTTCTGAAAAAATAACTGACATTACGTTTTTTTTTACATGAAGTATGTGTGTGTGTGTGTGTGTAGATAACGTTTAGATGGCTGTATTTTGTATAAACCTCAGCGTAGGAGGCACTGAAGTGTAGAATGGTTCAAGAAGTGCAGTTACTTTGACAGTGGTAGCTATGGTGTGCAGTATGCACCGAAAAGCTGTGCTCTGTTGGGGAAAAAGATGACTGATCGCTTTTCATCAGTGTACTAGAAAGTACACATTTGTTTTAATGTGTTTTTGTTTTCAAATGTCTGCAACAAGTAACAACACACGGAACAACACACGAAAGGGACTCTGCATACCAGGCATTTTTGTAACCCTCCCCAATTCCCTCAGAGCAGAATCAAAGTCTTCCTCTGTGTGCATTGTGATGTCACTGAATTCCAACGCCTGTGTGCTTTTCTGCTGATTCACAGCAGACCAGGAAGAAGAGGCGGGAATTTAACTTGTAATTTCCTGTTGCACAGGAAACATATTCTTAGCCCCAGCTAGTTAGTCAAATTATGAGGCGTTCCTCCTGCCAGTTCCAGGAGGCTTTTTCACTGCATCCAGGAATTTCAGAACTCAAATTTGCTCGATAGGATTCATTGCTTTCATATATCAAAATGTCTCTTTGTTATTTGAGCTGCCTGCATACACCTCACTTACTTAGCAAAATGCACAGGACTAAACGAATGAAGCCTCCGTGAGTTTCTATAATGTGTAAATGTACACTCACCGGACAGTTTATTAGGTACACCCATCTAGTACCGGGTTGGACCACCCCTCCAGAACAGCCTGAATTCTACAAGTTGGAAACGTTCCACAGGGATGTTGGTCCATGCTGATGCGATGGTATCATGCAGTTGCTGCTGATTGGATGGCAGTACGCCACCGCCACCAGTCTGTACCGTTGACACCAGGCAGGATGGGTCCATGGACTCATGATGCTTATGCCAAATCGTGACTCTGCCGTTAGCATGGCGCCCACAGGACTGCCGCTGACTGGATGTTTTTTGTTTGTCGCACCATTCTCGATAAACCCTAGACCCAGGAGGGTGACCGTTTCTGAGATACTGGAACCGGCGCAACAGGCACAGACTGCACTTGAAGAAACTTTCAAAGTTCTTGACATTTTCCGTATTGACTTACCTTCATGTCTTAAAGTAATGATGGACTGTCTTTTCTCTTTGCTTATTTGAGCTGTTCTTGCCATAATATTTACTTTGGTCTTTTACGAAATAGGGCTATCTTCTGTATACCTCCCTACCTTGTCACAACACAACTGATTGGCTCAAACGCATTAAGAAGGAAATCAATTCCACAAATTAACTTTTAAGAAGTCACACCTGTTAATTGAAATGCATTCCAGGTGACTACCTCATGAAGCTGGTTGAGAGAATGCCAAGAGTGTGCAAAGCTGTCATCAAGGCAAAGGGTGGCTATTTGAAGAATCTCAAATATAAAATATATTTTGATTTGTTTAACACCTTTTTGGTTACTACATGATTCCATATGTGTTATTTCATAGTTTTGATGTCTTCACTATTATTCTACAATGTAGAAAATAGTCAAAATAAAGAAAAACCCTTGAATGAGTAGATGTTCTAAAACTTTTGACCGGTAGTGTATATACTTCCTCAACTGAGGTTGACCCATGCACCTACTTTTTCTTGTTTTTGCTCACCATTTTGTCCCCTATGTTTTGTCTCATTGTCTCGCAGCACGATAACGGAAGTGGGAAAGCACTGACAAAGTACACCGCCCTGGAGGAAAAGGAAGCCCAGAACCTAGAAGTTATAGCCTTCTGTGAAGACGTAGCAATGTAAGCCATTTGTGTGTGTGTGTGTGTGTCTGAGTACACATTTGTACTGTGTGAGCGTACGCAAAGGAGTGTGCGTGCGCACAGTACTGTGAGTGTGTATTGTAATTGCATGTTTGTGTGACAGGGTGTGCAGCCTCACTCCAGTACTCTGGGTGGAGTGATGATGTAGCTTTGCTCTGGAAATCGCTCTCCGGCAAAAAATCTTCACAAATATCGCCAAAGCAGAAGAGTTTTAGAATAACTTTAGATCCCATAAGGAAGTACAGGGGGGGAAGTTAAGTAGGAGAATTAATCACAGGAACTTAGTCAATCCGTTATCTACTAGTTTATGCATGTATAATAGGCCAGCAAACTGCCAGATTTGCAAACTAAGGTAATAAAAAGTAGAGAATCAATTATATGAAGTTTATGAACTGTAAAGGTGACGTACTGAATTTCAATTGGCTGATTTTTGTTTTTTTAGACTGAGGTCAAAGTTCGCCCACGATGACCTCCACACCAACCCGGGGTACGTGCTGAGCGCGGTGATCCCCCAGAGGGACGGGGGAGGGGACAACGGCTGCAGCGTCAAGGTGTCCATCGAGATTTCTGAGTCCCAGGAGCCTGTCACCTTCACCTGCGACTGTAAGGACATGTCACAACACCCTTACTAGGTTTGCTAAATTCTGAAATCTCGGTTGGAGAATTCCAGAATTCAGGAGCGAACACATAGAGACAATCCTCCAAATGGGATTTCTAGATAACCGAGGGATTTTGGGAAACTTTCTTAAATGTTGCAACCCTAACCCAGACAGAGGTGCTTAGTGTCCCCAACCCTGGACCTTGGGTGTGCAAGCTGGGTGGTAAGACACCTTTATAACCATAAACGTAGGTTATTACAACATGCAATGACATCAAGGGGCCTCTTTAGAATGGAGCTCTTCTAGGTCTAATTAACCCAACTACAAAAAAAAATCAAAAAAATCTGAGGCATTTCCCCTTTAAGACAGAGCGCTTCAGATTACAGATAAGAATACTGGGCCAGAGGTCCAAAGGAGGAAACAGCATTCAGGACAGCCAGTTTTTTGTTTTTGTGGAAAAACGCCACGTTCCCCCTCCCCACAAATAAAAGGTTGTTCCACTGCCCTGGAGCAACTATGTCGGCCAAAGGGCTTCTCTAGATTATGTTCACTCATTTGCCCACTGGGCTTTTGGTTCGATCTCTGGGGGTGTGTTGTCATTGGCTGACCCCAGGTTCGTAGCTCCTCCCCTGGATCCACCCTTCCAATGCCAGTCACTGATCTCTCTTGGCCCCCTGTGACCAAGTTCTCTAATGGAGTCTGCCCTGAACTCCCTGGGTCCTGGCAGCGAATCAACACCAGCCTTTTGTGTGATAATATATGATGGCTGTGTCTGCATTCCATCTGTCCTAAAAAAAAAGTTGCGCCAAGCAAACTGGTATCCCTTGCTCTTTCCTGTGTGTGTGCGGCCAGTCCCACTGACCCAGTCTCTCTGTAACCACACCAACTGGTCATGTTGCCTCTTCTTTCTCCTGTACTGTACAGCCAGGCCTGATTCGCTGTACAGGACAGATTCCCCTGATTGGCCACAATGGAAAAGCCAAGGTTGTATATCGGCACACAGAAACAATAGCCTTCAGTTCTCTCTCTTCTAGGAGGAGGGAGGTGTGCGGGGGGAAGGAGAGCAGGCTGAAAAGAAAAAAAGAATCTTTCCCTCTTTCTCTTTCTTGTGTAATCTGTTGCGTTCCTCCCTCCGTCGTCAGGCAGGCCCCTCTGTTCCACTTCCACCGGCGTTCCACCAGCTTCCTAAATGTGGCGCGTGGAACAATCTACCGGGGGAAGAAAACACATTCCCAGATGACTCTTTCCCCAACTGCTACTGTTACAGCTTCTCTGCTCGTCTCTGACACTCTTACTGTATTTAACAGCCAGTCAGAGCTGAGCTGGCTTCTGTTACTGTATTTAACAGCCAGTCAGAGCTGAGCTGGCTTCTGTTACTGTATTTAACAGCCAGTCAGAGCTGAGCTGGCTTCTGTTACTGTATTTAACAGCCAGTCAGAGCTGAGCGTGGGCTTCTGTTACGTATTTATACAGCCGTCAAGCTGAGCTGGCTTCTGTTCACTGTATTTTAAAAACCTACGCAGTCAGATCTGATCTGGGCTTCTGTTATTGGTATTTAAATCAGCAGCCAGTCAGAGCTGAGCTGGCTTCTGTTACTGTATTTAACAAGCAGCCGTCAAGCTGAGCTGGCTTCTGTTACTGTATTTAACAGCAGCCAGTCAGAGCTGAGCTGGCTTCTGTTACTGTATTTAACAGCAGCCAGTCAGAGCTGAGCTGGCTTCTGTTACTGTATTTAACAGCAGCCAGTCAGAGCTGAGCTGGCTTCTGTTACTGTATTTAACAGCAGCCAGTCAGAGCTGAGCTGGCTTCTGTTACTGTATTTAACAGCAGCCAGTCAGAGCTGAGCTGGCTTCTGTTACTGTATTTAACAGCCAGTCAGAGCTGAGCTGGCTTCTGTTACTGTATTTAACAGCCAGTCAGAGCTGAGCTTGGCTTCTGTTACTGTATTTAAACAGCCAGTCAGAGCTGAGCTGGCTTCTGTTACTGTATTTAACAGCCAGTCAGAGCTGAGCTGGCTGCTGTTACTGTATTTAACAGCAGCCAGTCAGAGCTGGATTCTTTTCCTGGGGAGAAAATGAACGATTAGTTCTTTCTTAGGCTAGAATCTTAAATTGCAAGATTTAGGTTAGATATTCCTTGCATACCTTGGCGTGGGGAGAGAGGAAACCCGGGGAACTGGCAGAGGTGGATGTCTGGTGGCTTTGAGATGACTCCTCGTTTTTAACTGTCTGCTGCAATTCTCTGATCTGAAATGCCCCGCTCTCTCTGTCTTTTGATCTCTCTTGCCATCATACTCTCTCTCTCACTGTCTTGCTTTCAATTATGTTCTCTCTCTTGCTATGTTGCTCTCTTTTTTCTCTTTAAGTGCCTTTTGAAATCTGATGAAGAAGTAGACCGTAAAAAGCAGAAATGGAGTTGTTTACGTTCCCTGTATTGATGATGAGAAATGCAGTTGTTCCTGTCCCCGTTGGTGCTGAGGTAATAAATCTGGGTTCTGCTTTGCCCTGGCAGGATCGCCCAGGACCTGGCCCCTTCCTGACGGCTAATTGGATGTGAGCCCTCTATTGATGTCACTCATTGGCTGGGTATTCAAGTGCTAGCTAGCAAGTTGCTAGCATCCCGCTGTGTTTCGAGACTAGTATTGTAATCATAGACACCAGTCCTTCTCCTGCTTTAGACCAGCCCCAGCCCCCAAACACCTACATTGGTGTGCATGTGTGACCGCGCAAGTTGCAAACATTCCAGCACCATGTGTGAGTTCGTAGCGACACGCAACAGAGGGCTTTTTTTCAACACACAACGTCCGGAATGCCAGCCTGGTCCCAGACCTGTTTCTGCTGTCTTGCGTCCTCCCGTGATCATAGGAGTCAAGGCAGCACAAACAGATCTGGGAACAGGCTGGCATTCCGGAGGTTGTGTGTTGAAAAAAAGGTTGTTGACCAGTTAGCCTCCCAAGGATCCCTAGAAACCCACTTCGCAGCACCCACCCACTACCAAGACGTGACCAATCATAACACTCTCTGTCAGAATTCAAAAACACAGGCCTAAATGCACCAATAGGCCCTCTAGTATTGGTTCCTTAATACTAAGTCCATTCCATTCCTCTGTAGGGTGTGGGGTTGTTATTGTTGGAGAGCCCGGGGTGGTCTGTGTGTGTGTGCTGGCATCAAACAGAGGAGAAACCAAGAACCCCCCCTCTAGAAGTGGCAGATAGAACAATCTGTTTTGTGTCAGGTTACACATGCATACTCAGTCACACACACACATTTCATTCTCCGCCAAATATTTCCTAGGAGACATGCTCATGTACACAAACATGAGGCTTTTCCAATAACACAGTATCGTAATGCATCCTGAGATCATTCACTGGATTAGTTTTAATTCGATTAAGATAGGGGAGATCAAATTAGCCTGGTCTCAGATCTGTTTGTCTATCTTGCCAACTCCTATACACTCATTGTCACACCAGTGACGGCACATACAGATCTCGGACCAGGTTAACTATGAATATAGTTTGACTTGAACCACCCACACTGTAATCCGTCCGAGAGGACTTTCACGATATTGTTTTATAAAACCGCTCTCTGGTCAAATTATTGACTCCTCTTTTTCCATGAGTGATCGTTTCTGACAATTCCATTGAAATCATCACTTATTGGGTGGATCAGAAGATCTTGATTCCTCGTTTAGTGAAACTCTGGCTGCTTCCCTCCTACCTGTGGCTAGAGGTGGACAAACAGCACCTTGCTTTATGCTTTATTAGTGTGGGGGTGTCCTTGTGTTCACCTGTCCAATCATGTCTAATCAGTGATTACTTCAAGGAAGGGATTTTAAGGAATTTGAACAGGGGACTTTGTATGCCATTGTGCTTGCTTTAACCCCCCCCCCCCCTCTCTCTCTCTCTCTCTCTCTCTCTCTCTCCCTCCCTCTCTTCCCCCCCTTCCTCCTCCTTCCTTAGTGAGTTCTCCTGTAGAGCTCCTCATCATGCAAGCTCTGTGTTGGGTCCACGACGACCTCAACCAGGTGGACATTGGCAGCTACGTCCTTAAGGTCTGCGGCCAAGAGGAGGTGCTGCAAAAGTGAGTTGTGCGCGAAGTCTCACACACACGCAAATGTAAAACCCTGGCCTCCACATTTCCCACAATCCTACACACACAAAAACACACACACTGGCACCCCCCCCCCCCAACACCTGCCTCTAAGCTTCTTCTCACCCTGGCAGAGAGGGAGAGGAGAAGAGGAGCGAGATAAAAACCCAAAAAAGAATATCACTGCCAACATTCCTCAAGCAGGGAGCTATTTTTCTTTAATTGTGTTAGAATTTTTTTTCCTTTTGGCCATTTTGCCGGTTCTGTTGCAAAAGCAACAGTCGTGAGGGCAGGGGATGCTTTTACTAATTAAGAACAGAGGGATTGAGCAAAAGCAGGTTTTCTTTTAAAGACTTCTTCGGCATGAATTCTTTTAAGTGCACAGGTTGACCCATAACCCGCAGTCCCACCGCGGGTCGGGTGGGTTTAGGGTCATGAAATATTGTGTGGATGAAGGGCGGGTGGGTGACGGGCGGGTGGAATAAAGAGAAAAGTATGTATTATAAATGTGTAATTATTTTGCAATTCGTATCTAGGCTACATTGAGGTTTTTATTTCATTATTTTTATCTAGCGTTAGTGCGTAAGCCTAAGCTTTAGGGCCTAACTGTACGCGCGCCAAATACACGCCAAGTGCTTTTGGGAACTTAAGCAGAAAATGTTGACTTCGATCCACTGAGGAAAAAAGGACAATGTTGGGAGTTTAATTCAATAAGAAAAAACTGTGGAATGGAGAGTTGAAAATAAAGAGAAGGGAGGTCCAGAACAGTCTAATGTTTGGGAAAGATGTTATGTGTGGTGATTGTGAGGTGCTATACAAATTCGACATTCACAAGACGGGGACTTCAAATATGGCACGTCAAGGGAACTGTACTGTTCAGACGGGTTAAATGGAATAGTAACTGAAATCTGGACACTGACTATAGGTCTATAACCTCTCACATAGCCTAATTATATTAACTCTTTCAGCATTAAGCAGTTTTTTTCAGTAAAATGATACACCAAATGTAAATTTTCACGTGGAGAAATATGATTTATTTGTTTCAGCATCTTGAGAGAATGAATGCGTGGTTAGGGACCATTTGTAAAGGTGCTATCTTTATCAGCATCATAAAAGCTGATTTTAGTATTTCAACCACAAATATGCATCCAAGACGAACTGAAATCTCATCAGAAACATGTTGGGTCATTTTCACAGCTTTTAATTCCCTTAAAACCGGTCAAACTGATGTCGTTTGGATGGAAAATCTTTTCAATTTCTTTGTTTTTTGTTATTGCATTTTCTCCACGGTCCTTCAACATCTTTGCTGCAAGAGAGAAGAGATGAAAAAGAACGTTTCCAATGTCAACTAGGTTAAAGCATTCATTCTATTGGTATACAGTGGGGAAAAAAAGTATTTAGTCAGCCACCAATTGTGCAAGTTCTCCCACTTAAAAAGATGAGAGAGGCCTGTAATTTTCATCATAGGTACACGTCAACTATGACAGACAAATTGAGCGGAAAAAATCCAGAAAATCACATTGTAGGATTTTTAATGAATTTATTTGCAAATTATGGTGGAAAATAAGTATTTGGTCACCTACAAACAAGCAAGATTTCTGGCTCTCACAGACCTGTAACTTCTTCTTTAAGAGGCTCCTCTGTCCTCCACTCGTTACCTGTATTAATGGCACCTGTTTGAACTTGTTATCAGTATAAAAGACACCTGTCCACAACCTCAAACAGTCACACTCCAAACTCCACTATGGCCAAGACCAAAGAGCTGTCAAAGGACACCAGAAACAAAATTGTAGACCTGCACCAGGCTGGGAAGACTGAATCTGCAATAGGTAAGCAGCTTGGTTTGAAGAAATCAACTGTGGGAGCAATTATTAGGAAATGGAAGACATACAAAACCACTGATAATCTCCCTCGATCTGGGGCTCCACGCAAGATCTCACCCCGTGGGGTCAAAATGATCATAAGAACGGTGAGCAAACATCCCAGAACCACACGGGGGGACCTAGTGAATCACCTGCAGAGAGCTGGGACCAAAGTAACAAAGCCTACCATCAGTAACACACTACGCCGCCAGGGACTCAAATCCTGCAGTGCAAGACGTGTCCCCCTGCTTAAGCCAGTACATGTCCAGGCCCGTCTGAAGTTTGCTAGAGTGCATTTGGATGATCCAGAAGAGGATTGGGAGAATGTCATATGGTCAGATCAAACCAAAATATAATTTTTTGGTAAAAACTCAACTCGTCGTGTTTGGAGGACAAAGAATGCTGAGTTGCATCCAAAGAACACCATACCTACTGTGAAGCATGGGAGTGTAAACATCATGCTTTGGGGCTGTTTTTCTGCAAAGGGACCAGGACGACTGATCCGTGTAAAGGAAAGAATGAATGGGGCCATGTATCGTGAGATTTTGAGTGAAAACCTCCTTCCATCAGCAAGGGCATTGAAGATGAAACGTGGCTGGGTCTTTCAGCATGACAATGATCCCAAACACACCGCCCGGGCAACGAAGGAGTGGCTTCGTAAGAAGCATTTCAAGGTCCTGGAGTGGCCTAGCCAGTCTCCAGATCTCAACCCCATAGAAAATCTTTGGAGGGAGTTGAAAGTCCGTGTTGCCCAGCGACAGCCCCAAAACATCACTGCTCTAGAGGAGATCTGCATGGAGGAATGGGCCAAAATACCAGCAACAGTGTGTGAAAACCTTGTGAAGACTTACAGAAAACGTTTGACCTGTGTCATTGCCAACAAAGGGTATATAACAAAGTATTGAGACACTTTTGTTATTGACCAAATACTTATTTTCCACCATAATTTGCAAATAAATTCATTAAAAATCCTACAATGTGATTTTCTGGATTTTTTTCCCTCATTTTGTCTGTCATAGTTGACGTGTACCTATGATGAAAATTACAGGCCTCTCTCATCTTTTTAAGTGGGAGAACTTGCACAATTGGTGGCTGACTAAATACTTTTTTTCCCCCACTGTAGCCACTCCTCTACAGTGGGTAAAAAAAGTATTTAGTCAGCCACCAATTGTGCAAGTTCTCCCACTTAAAAAGATGAGAGAGGCCTGTAATTTTCATCATAGGTACACGTCAACTATGACAGACAAATTGAGAATTTTTTTTCCAGAAAATCACTAGGATTTTTTAATGAATTTATTTGCAAATTTATGGTGGAAAATAAGTATTTGGTCACCTACAAACAAGCAAGACTTCTGGCTCTCACAGACCTGTAACTTCTTCAAGAGGCTCCTCTGTCCTCCACTCGTTACCTGTATTAATGGCACCTGTTTGAACTTGTTATCAGTATAAAAGACACCTGTCCACAACCTCAAACAGTCACACTCCAAACTCCACTATGGCCAAGACCAAAGAGCTGTCAAAGGACACCAGAAACAAAATTGTAGACCTGCACCAGGCTGGGAAGACTGAATCTGCAATAGGTAAGCAGCTTGGTTTGAAGAAATCAACTGTGGGAGCAATTATTAGGAAATGGAAGACATACAAGACCACTGATAATCTCCCTCGATCTGGGGCTCCACGCAAGATCTCACCCCGTGGGGTCAAAATGATCACAAGAACGGTGAGCAAAAATCCCAGAACCACACGGGGGGACCTAGTGAATCACCTGCAGAGAGCTGGGACCAAAGTAACAAAGCCTACCATCAGTAACACACTACGCCGCCAGGGACTCAAATCCTGCAGTGCCAGACGTGTCCCCCTGCTTAAGCCAGTACATGTCCAGGCCCGTCTGAAGATTGCTAGAGTGCATTTGGATGATCCAGAAGAGGATTGGGAGAATGTCATATGGTCAGATGAAACCAAAATAGAACGTTTTGGTAAAAACTCAACTCGTCGTGTTTGGAGGACAAAGAATGCTGAGTTGCATCCAAAGAACACCATACCTACTGTGAAGCATGGGGGTGGAAACATCATGCTTTGGGGCTGTTTTTCTGCAAAGGGACCAGGACGACTGATCCGTGTAAAGGAAAGAATGAATGGGGCCATGTATCGTGAGATTTTGAGTGAAAACCTCCTTCCATCAGCAAGGGCATTGAAGATGAAACGTGGCTGGGTCTTTCAGCATGACAATGATCCCAAACACACCGCCCGGGCAACGAAGGAGTGGCTTCGTAAGAAGCATTTCAAGGTCCTGGAGTGGCCTAGCCAGTCTCCAGATCTCAACCCCATAGAAAATCTTTGGAGGGAGTTGAAAGTCCGTGTTGCCCAGCGACAGCCCCAAAACATCACTGCTCTAGAGGAGATCTGCATGGACGAATGGGCCAAAATACCAGCAACAGTGTGTGAAAACCTTGTGAAGACTTACAGAAAACGTTTGATCTGTGTCATTGCCAACAAAGGGTATATAACAAAGTATTGAGTAACTTTTGTTATTGACCAAATACTTGTTTTCCACCATAATTTGCAAATAAAATCATTAAAAATCCTACAATGTGATTTAGTTGACGTGTACCTATGATGAAAATTACAGGCCTCTCTCATCTTTTTAAGTGGGAGAACTTGCACAATTGGTGGCTGACTAAATACTTTTTTTCCCCCACTGTATGTCATATCTTTAATCTGAGCCTAGAGGAAAGTCTTTGTCCTCAGGCCTGGAGGGAAGCCAAAGTAATTCCGCTACCCAAGAATGGTAAAGCGGCCTTTACTGGTTCTAACATCAGACCTATAAGCTTGCTGCCAGCTCTTAGCAAACTGTTGGAAAAAATAGTGTTTGACCAAATACAATGCTATTTCTCTGTAAACAAATTAACAACAGACTTTCAGCATGCTTATAGGGAAGGGCACTCAACATGTACTGCACTGAGACAAATGACTGATGATTGGTTGAAAGAAATTGATAATAAGAAGATTGTGAGAGCTGTACTGTTAGATTTCAGTGCAGCCTTTGATATTATTGACCGTAACCTGTTGTTGAAAAAACGTATGTGTTATGGCTTTTCAACCTCAGCTCTGAATCCACGATATGGCAATCTATCTAATAGACGGGTTTTCTTTAATGGAAGCTTCTCTAATGTCAAACATGTAAAGTGTGGTGTACCACAGGGCAGCTCTCTAGGCCCTCTACTCTTTTCTATTTTTACCAATGACCTGCCAATGGCATTAAACAAAGCATGTGTGTCCATGTATGCTGAGGATTCAACCATATACGCATCATCAACCACAGCTAATGAAGTCACTGAAACCCTTAACAAAGAGTTGTTGTCTGTTCTGGAATGGGTGGCCAGTAATAAACTGTTCCTAAACAACCCTAAAACTAAGAGTATTGTATTTGGTACAAATCATTTCCTAAATTCTAGACCTCAGCAGAATCTGGTAATGAATGGTGTGGCTGTTGAACAAGTTGAGGAGACTAAATTACTTGGCGTTACCTTAGTTTACAATCATGGTCAAAACATATAGATTCACTGGTTGTAAAGATGGGGAGAGGTCTATCCGTAATAAAGAGATGCTCTGCTTTTTTGACACCGCACTCCAAAAAGCAATTTCTGCAGGCTATAGTTTTATCTTATCTTGATTATTGTCCCGTCATATGGTCAAGTGCTGCAAAGAAAGACCTAGTTAAGCTGCAGCTGGCCCAAAACAGAGCGGCACATCTTACTCTTCATTGTAATCAGAGGGCTGATATAAATACTATGCATGCCAGTCTCTTGGCTAAGAGTTGAGGAAAGACTGACTGCATCACTTCTTATTTTAATAAGAAAATCCCAAATTGTTTGCATAGTCAACTTACACACAGCTCTGACACACACACTTACCCCACCAGACATGTCACCAGGGGTCTTTTCACAGTCCCCAAATCCAGAACAAATTCAAGAAAGCATACAGTATTATATAGAGCCATTATTGCATGGAACTCCGTTCCATCTCATATTGCTTGAATAAACAGCAAACCTGGTTGCAAAAAACAGATAAAGCAACAACACACGGCACAACTCCTCTCCCCTATTTGACCTAGATAGTTTGTGTGTATGTATTGATATGTAGGCTACGTGTGCCTTTAATTTTTTTTTATGTAGATCTGTCCTTGAACTGTTCTTGTCTATTAATGTTCTGTATTATGTCATGTTTCGTGTTTTGTGAGGACCCCAGGAAGAGTAGCTGCTGCTTTTGCAACAGCTAATGGGGATCCTAATCAAATACAGAAAAATACCACAAATACATATTTTCTAGTGAGCAACAGTTTATTTAGTATTCTAGGGTAACAAGTAAGACAGAAGAGAAGCTGCATGTATCTAATTATAGACAAGTTGACTAACAAATAGCCTACCAAAGTGTCAAATTATTAGCAGAAAAATAGGCATATCTAAATTAGGCTTTAAAAAAAATCCTACACCCCTGACCAAAAATAGTTCCGGCATCTCTGACTGTACATCACATGTTCTATATTAGCGGGTTAGGGTCGGGTGCGGGCCTCAGATTTTCACTTTATCACATATAGTCAGGCAGTTGCGGATGGGTTATTAATGATTGCGTGCGGGTGAACAAATAGCTGACCCATGTCGCATGTGTGTGTCTGTCTTTCTGTGTGTGTGTGTGTGTGTGTGTGTGTGTGTGTGTGTGTTACGTGCGTGCATGCATGGTTCAGTTTCGCTTTGTGTCTCGCTACAAATTCCCCAGTGTGTTTATCTGCACTCTCCCGGCCTTGTATGGTCTTGGCAAGCCCTCAGAAGGTCCTGGAATTAGACTCGGAAATGGATGTTTCCATTGCTCCCTGCCCCCGCTAAACATAGCATCTCTCTCAGGTCAGGTCTCGCTCTTTAGATTCATTGGAACTCTTTAACTTTAAGTGGGTGTTAAGTGTTTAGTTCTAAGTTAAACTTGGGTTTAATATCCTCGTGTACACCAACGACCTCAACCGATAAATCTGAATTACTATGGCCTAGTTCCATTTGGCCTAGTTCCTCACCATTGAACACCATTGATTTGAAAGGACTGGTTAGATTAGGTGGAAGGCTAGTTAGAGCCACCACCATATTGCTGACTCGTCCTTTTTCCCATCGTTTGAGATCTATGAACACCAAAAGGATAGGTGGTAAGGGCAAGGGACTAAGTGCTGAAATGTAATTGGGCTCATTCCTCACAATGCTCCAAGGATAAGTCTATAACTGCTGGGTGCAACGGGAAACGTTTGAAAACTTCTTGAAATAAAAACAACCTTGTGCATTTCCTATTGGACCAAGTCCAGGTTGTCCCTTTGTTTCCTTCCGTTTGGTACCTAATGAACAAGACCCTGATATCATATTTGACCTTTGACCTTCCTGTGTCCTCTCCATAGTAAGCACAGCCTGGGCAGCCACGAGTACATACAGAACTGCAGGAAGTGGGAGGCAGAGATCAAGCTCCAGCTGCTCTCCCAGAGCACCATGAGAAGGGATCTGGCGCGTACGGTAAGACCCAAACCATCCATCAACCAACCTACCAATCAGTGATGTAGCACTTTGATGTGTGTTTGGTGCTCAACAGTAGCATAAGACCAGCTAAAGGTCAGGCCTGGAGGAAAGTTAATGAAATAGACAAGACAGACGTCCAGAAAGACAAACTTCAGACAGGCAGACTTGCGGAGAGGCAGGCAGACTTGCGGAGAGGCAGGCAGACTTGCGGAGAGGCAGGCAGACTTGCGGAGAGGCAGGCAGACTAGCAGACAGACTGACTGAATAGCAGTCTGACTGGCAGGCAGGCTTAAAGTCAGGCTGGCTATCATAAATACCTAATTAAAGCAAACATTAAAGAAATACTGGCCTTGGCGATATTGGTAAGACTGAAACACATGCCATTTGAAACCTAGCAGTGTCAGGCCTGTAAGTTCAAGGTTCTTCCCATACTCTTCAAAAGCGTGTACACTTCAACAATGATGTAATTCACAGTAAGATGCAATCATACTAAGACCTCGCATCAAAAGCTTGACAAACTGCACTCCAGAAATGAGCAGACATTGAAACCCTAGTGTGATTTGAGGGAGGCCGCAGTGAGATCTCATGGTTTGTTGTGCACGCAGGCGGAAGACAACACCGCTCAAGTGGACTTGGAGAGGCACATGGGCCAAGTGGAGAGGCCGTTCAAGGAGAACGTCACCAGGTAGGAACATACCTTTCTTTCTGCTTCTTATCACATAATCTTATCCATTGTCTGGAGCCAAATATGGCTGTCTGGAATTCCCAATAACGGCTGACTGAGATTTCTGTGATTGGTTCATTCTCTCTCTCTCCCTAGACAAGGCCTGTCCGACTATCTGGAAGGCTATCACAATCAAGTCAACATCTGCCTGCAGAATGAGGTAGCTTATGAAGTTAATTCACATCTTTGACGCTGCACTGAAGGCCCTAAACGTTTCTGTGATCTCAGACGTGTGGTGGTTGTGGTGTAAAATTGCTATCAGGCGTTGAATAGGACTTGTGCATTGTGTGGATAGTTCACACATGATTGCGACAGGCCTATAAATTCCGGGATGACATATGCTCTAGAAATGGCACATCTGTTTCAAGAATGAAAATGTATGCACTCACTAACTGTAAGTGGCTCTGGATAAGAGCGTCTGCTAAATTACTAAAATGTAAATGTAAAAGAATCACTTGAATTGTTGAGTAACTGAACAGAGATTGAACACACACACACACACACTAAACAAAGACTTTGTTCCACCTCAGAGCACCCAGTATAAGACTGTGGATCGGGTGGTGCAGACAGTGAAGAACCTCTGCTGTGCCCTGGACGAGGTGGAGACGCAGGCCATCACAGAAGCAGTGAAAGGGGTTAAGCGCTCCGTCAACCTCCCCAGGACACGTTCGCCAGAGGTGGGTCCAATGATGTATAACCATCCATAAGAATATATAAATGTATGTCTGTTGGTTGGTCACGTCACTACTACCGATGTCTAATAGCTGTCAGACATACACATCTGTCTTTGAACTGCAGTGATAGGGCGTAGGATAGTTTAACAGGGGCTGGAATTCAGTCATAATATCTGTGTACTTTTTTATTTCAGGTGGGCTCCAAATCCTCAGGTGGCTCGGCAAATGGTGAGTGCTACAACAACCAGTCACAATTTTTCACACACATTAAAAGTTTGACTCAGCAATATGACTTTGATCAGTCCATATTCACACACAGTGGGGCAATTCCTGCTTACAGAAATCAACAACAAAAAGAGTTCAAATCCTTTGAGCTAACATAACCCTCTGACCCATCCAGGTCACCTCAGCCCCGTGGAGGAGAGCATGGGCTTCCTGACGGACGCAGTCTACGACCTGGCCAAGCTCTACTTGCGCTCCTTCTGCCCCGCCGCCTCCTCCTCCTCCTCTACCCCTTCCCCTGACCCCTCCTCCAACTCCCAGCATGCCGAGGGGGAGTCTGCTGCGGAGGGGCGTGGCAGCAAGGAGGCCTCGGGCACCACGGACCATCTGCAGTTCACCCTGTTCGCCATGCACGGCATCCCTGCCGCCTGGGTCAGCAGGTGCGTGTACCCCCAGTTCAATATAACAAACTAGTACCATTTTACGTTTTCTTGATTGCAGTAAGGAAGACACCTGAGACTATAGTTTCCACCTTTAAGAAGGACTTGGCCCCAGAACTGATACTCTTGTTGTCTTGCTCCGCCGTTGCTTCTCTCAGCATCTTAGTTTCCGTCACAGTATCCAATTCCAGCATGGCTTTAATCTATTTATGGTGTCTTTCTGTCTGGAATAGACTTGAGTCAACCTTTCCATTCAGTGAGCACAATCTTGCACAGCAATGGGGACTTGGGGAGTGGCACATTTTGTGACTGTCTCACTCCAGGGTTGTGTTCAATATGGTTCACAACAGAAAGCGTTTTAAAATGTTTTGCAACAGAAAACAAAATGAGCGTTTCTTGTTGGACAAGGCCAGGTAGTACCTCCCTGTTTCAGTCAATTTTTTTTGCGTTTGGTGCCTAATGAAAACAATCCAGGCTTGATGGAAGGGAAGTCCAAAATGCCACTGTAAAACGCGGTCCAGGACCCAATTATTTTTATGGTTGGCTGACGACTGCTTCAAAAAGAGAGGAACTGGTTAAAAACAGGCTGTTTCTTTCTGCCCGTCATCCGTAAGGCCTCGTCCAAGAGCTATTTTTAGGAGATATGGAAAACATTTTTGAGCACCATACCAAAGGAGTGCTGAAAATATTTATCCCATAACACGAGGCCAGAAGTGCTCCCCGAAAATGTTTAGTCCCGAACAAAAAAGCTACTCTGTGTTCCAAAATTATGGCATGGCTGGAATCGTCCCTCATCATGGTTTGAGTGCTTTGCTCTGTTGTATCTAGCATCCTATGACAAACACACACGCAACACACACATGCAAACACACACACACCATCTGTAGGCACAGTGATTCAGCGATGCATCATGTCACCAGCAACAGTGGAGGCGTGCATACCATGCTGTGTTGAAGCACAAGACGGATGGCATTGAGCAATAAGAAATATTTTGGAATCCCAAATGATTCACTGCCTGGTATTCTCATAGTTTGTGCTCATAAAATGCAATGTTTTTCGTAATGTGAAAAAATTTGAACTGTATTAATAAGAGGAGCCAACTTAACAAAATCTGCATTTGATAAATGGTTTTGCGAGCTCTGTTAGTGATATCAAAGTGCTCTATTCAAGAATGCACTAGTGTGGCATTATTAGGTACAGAGGACGACTGTGTTTGTTATGGACGAGTTGAATCGTGGCTATTCTCTCTGTATACAAAGATGGGATATTAACTTGTTCATTCATAATTTGTTCATTTCCTCCTCTCCTCCCTTCCCTTCCTCCCTTCCTTCGCAGCTATGAGAAGTACTACCTGATGTGTGCTCTGACTCACAACGGCAGGAACCTGTTCAAGCCCATCCAGTCCAAGAAAGTGGGCACCTACAAGAGCTTCTTCTACCACATCAAATGGGACGAACTGTACGCAACTACTCTCTATCCCTAGAAATACAATATAATAGCTAGTTCTAATAGTGTTATGTTGAATATGTGCCTCTACCGCTCTTGATGGCCTCTTTAGGACCAAAACGTAAACTAGGGTGAAATGTTCTTCGCTTCTGTTACGCAGGCTCCAACACAACGTACATAGCATGACAATAATACAAACTGATAGCTAAGACATGATAACATTAAAGGAAAGGTCTGTTGTTACCCATAATCAGTGTATCGTTCAGCCAATCACTGGATACAGTTACGAGTAATAGATAGCAGATTCCACTTAGCAGACTTTGATCCAAAGCATCTAACAATACAGTGAGTGATACTGTACAGGTTTCATATGTGTATGTGATCCTTGCGGGAATTGCACCCTCATACCAACTGAGCCACAGACAGTATGATGAGGATGTAAGAATATACTCATAGGCTAGTCGGAATAAAGACTCACAAGCTATGCACATTCATACTTATTCACTATTCTCACTCTATTCCCACTCTATTCTTACACTGTTCCCACTATTCCCACTCCCACTCTATTCCCACTCTGTTCCCTCTTTCCAGGATCAACTTTCCAATGGCGGTGGCCCTGCTTCCATTGGAGTCAATGTTGACTCTCTCCCTCTTTGGGGTCCTGAACCAGAATGCCAGTGGCTCCCCAGACTCCAACAAACAGCGCAAGGGACCAGAAGTACTGGGCAAAGTCTCCCTGCCCCTATTTGACTTCCGACGGTGATACACAACACATTTAGTAGTGTGGTTAACTGTGCAATTGCTGTTTGTGTGTTTGCTGTGTTGTATGGCATTCCAAGAGTGTATTTCAAGAGTTAATTGTGTAATAGCTGTCTATTGAGAATTCAGAATGTTGGGGTGCTTTGTGTGCGTGTAGCTATGTATGTTAATACTCAGATGTGTGTTTTTCAGGGTGCTGGCTAGGGGAACCAAGCTGCTGTGTCTGTGGACCTCTCCTCAGGCTGCCTCTGCTGCAGCCGGGAGCCGGAGGAAGAACCTGGCCGAGAGGATCATACTGCAGGTGACTACACACACAACTCTATATACAGTAATACTGTACCCATAGAAAATTACTAGAGCTGACTTTACCGTTCGAGTCAATGTTCTGCAATTTTCTTATGTATAGGTCCTGTTCAAATGCAAATCTTCCCTCCCTTTTTCAAAGCAGTCAGTGATTCAACACAATTGGACAGGTGAAGCAAGCACCTGTTCAATCATGTTAGGTCCGTTTTTACCTCAAGCAAATTGAAGGAATGGAAGTACTTCAAACAGGACCCAAAGTCTCTCACTCACTTCCCTATCTCAAACACATTTCCCCTTTTGTGGTGACCCAATGTGTGTGTACCCATGCGAGTTTGTATGTGTGTGTCTGCCTAACCATTCCATGACCTCTGACCCCCCCCCCCCCCCCCCCCCCCCCCTCTCCAGGTCGACTTCCCCAGCCCAATGGTGGACGTGCTGTACGTGGGGCCCCAGGAGAGCCCCTGCCCCGACCCCAACACCCTGGAGGAGCTGGACCCTGACCTGCGCCGCCGGGTGGAGAAACTTTGCAGCCGAGCCTCCACCTTCGGGTACTGTGTCTGTTGTCATGCGCTGACACTAGCTGCCATGACGGTTTATGACAACTGCCATGTCATCATTAGGATCCTGTTATGTAGGGCCTTATGAAGAAAGGTTCCTAACAGTTTGTGTCATAACTGTGTTATGTCTGCTGTCATAAGCTGATACCAGCTGCCATGATGACAACTATTGTCATTATTATAATGGTGTTATGTGTAGGGCCTTATGAACGAAGTTTCAAAACTTCATCCCCAAATGACTCTCCAGTCCTCCCAGACCATAGATATATGTCTGTTCTCATTCCATTATCTGTTCCCCCAGACGTTTAACTGTGGGCATATAAATTCCACTTAAAACCACCCCAGGCTGCCGGCCAGATCCATTACCCTTTTCCAGCCTCCACAGAGAGCAATTTCTTCTAAAGCGCTAATCCCTTTTACTTTCTCTGAGCTTTCTCTCATTTACTACGATTTTCTTCTTTTGCCTTCTGTTTTGTCAGGGTGTATTTCAGAGTCCTAAAGATTATCTTAGAACAAGACTGTAGCTAACCTGAAAGGCTGTCCACGGGCATAGTCTGTAGATTAAGGTTTCCCAAACGCTGTCCTGGGGCCACCCCTGGGTGCACGTTTTGGTTTTTGCCCTAGCACTACACAGCTGATTAAAATAACCAACTCATCATCAAGCTTTGATTATTTGAATCGGCTGTGTAGTGATAGGCCAAAAACCAAAACGTGGCACCCAGAGGGGGCCCCAGGATCTGTGCAGTAATATGTCATCAGAGGGGATGAGCATTATACGAGCTGTTCGTGGGATTTGTGGCGAGAGAGTGCTGCACTGCTGTCTATCGTATAGCGTTCATTCATAGTGTTCATTACTACACCGTAGCAAAACGTTTTGCAATGGAAAACAAATACAAGCGTTTCTTTCTGGTCAAGTATAGATAGTACCAACCCATTTGACTTTGTTTCAGACCCTTTCTTTCGTTTCATGCCTAACTGAACATGACCCAGATGTTGATGACCATAAGTTACATATAGAATCTGAATAAAATGGTTAATTATAGGGATCTCTGTTGTGAGAACCCTGTCAGCTGTAGTAGTGGTCTATGTTCTGACTCACCATATCACCCCTCTCTCTCCTCCTCCCTCCCACTCCCAGGTTGACGAGGGCCGACCGTCAGCTGCTGTGGGACCAGCGGCACCACTGCCGGGCTCACACCAACAGCCTGCCCAAGGTGCTGGCCAGCTCCCCCAGCTGGGACTGGGGCAGCATGGCTGAGATCCACTCCCTCCTCCACCACTGGCCCTCTCTCCAGCCCGTCTGTGCCCTGGAACTGCTCGACTCTAAGTACGTGTGGTGTATACACACACACACACACACACACACAGAGGCAGACACACACACACACACACACACACACACACACACACACACACACACACACACACACACAGAGGCAGACACACACACACACACACCCCCCTTGAGTTTGAATGTGCAATGCTAGAGTTTAAGCTGTGGTCAATAGAAACCTGCCGTAGATAAGTCGTATGTGTAAAGTGGGAGGTGTGCGAGTTAATATTACGTGAGTATGTAGGTTAAAGGTCGCACTCAAGTTTGACCTGTCTGTCTCTGTCTTTGTCCCTGTCCTGCAGGTTTGCTGACACAGAGGTGAGGAGTGTGGCTGTCAGCTGGATCGAGTCCAGCAGTGATGACGAGTTGGCCGACTACCTGCCTCAGCTAGTGCAGGTAAACAGTCTGTAGTGTACACACACACACACACACACACACAGGTAAACAGTTTGTTAGTGACCCTGAATGCTTTTCTCACCCACTTATCCTTTTCCATGTCCTTGTCGCTCTCTCAGGCGCTGAAGTTTGAGTGTCACCTGAAGAATGCCCTGGTGATATTCCTGCTGTCCAGAGCACAGGGCAACGTCAGCATCACCCTTTACCTGTACTGGTGAGTCTTTACCAGGGCCTAAAATGAACACCAACCAATTCTATTTATTATTATTATTATATTTTTTTTTTTTCAAGTTCTCATTTACAACTGCGACCTGGCCAAGATAAAGCAAAGTAGTGCGATTAAAAACAACAACAGAGTTACATATGGGGTAAACAAAACATGAAGTCAAAAATACAACAGAAAATATCTATACAGTGTGTGCGAATGTAATAAATTATGGAGGTAAGGCAATAAATAGGCCATAGTGCAAAATAGTTACAATTTCATATTAACACTGGAATGATAGATGTTCAAAAGATGATGTGCAAATAGAGATACTGGGGTGCAAATTAGCAAAATAAATAACAATATGAGGTAGTTGGATGGGCTAATTACAGATGGGCTGTGTACAGGTGCAGTTATTGGTAAGCTGCTCTGACAACTGACGCCTATAGTTAGTGAGGGAGATAAGAGTCTCCAGCTTCAGAGATTTTTTGCAGTTCGTTCCAGTCATTGGCAGCAGAGAACTGGAAGGAATGGCGGCCAAAGGAGGTGTTGGCTTTGGGGATGACCAGTGAGATATACCTGCTGGAGCGCAGACTACGGGTGGGTGTTGCTATGGTGACCAGTGAGCTAAGATAAGACAGGGATTTGCCTAGCAGTGATCTATAGATGACCTGGAGCCAGTTTGGCAACAAATATGTAGTGAGGGCCAGCCAACAAGAGCGTACAGGTCATAATGGTGGGTAGTATATGGGGCTTTGGTGACAAAACGGATGGCACTGTGATAGACTACATCCAATTTGCTGAGTAGAGTGTTGGAGGCTATTTTGTAAATGACATCGCCGAAGTCAAGGATCGGTAGGATAGTCAGTTTTACGAGGGCATGTTTGGCAGCATGAGTGAAGGAGGCTTTGTTGCGAAATAGGAAGCCGATTCTAGATCTAACTTTTGATTGGAGATGCTCAATGTGAGTCTGGAAGGAGAGTTTACAGTCTAACCAGACACCTAGGTATTTGTAGTTGTCCACATACTCTAGGTCAGACCCACCGAGAGTAGTGATTCTAGTCGGGTGGGCGGGTGCAAGCAGCGTTCGGTTGAAGAGCATGCATTTAGTTTTACTAGTGTTTAAGAGCAGTTGGAGGCTACGGAAGGAGTGTTGTATGGCGTTGAAGCTCGTTTGGAGGTTTGTTAACACAGTGTCCAATGAAGGGCCAGATGTATACAAAATGGTGTTGTCCGCATAGAGGTGGATCCGAGCAACATCATTGATATACACAGAGAATAGAGTCGGCCCGAGAATTGAACCCTGTGGCACCCCCACAGAGACTGCCAGAGGTCCAGACAACAGGCCCTCCGATTTGACACATTGAACTCTATCTGAGAAGTAGTTTGTGAACCAGGCGAGGCAGTCATTTGAGAAACCAAGGCTATTTAGTCTGCCAATAAGAATGCGGTGGTTGACAGTCGAAAGCCTTGGTCAGGTCGATGAAGACGGCTGCGCAGTACTGTCTTTTATTGATCGTGGTTATAATATCGTTTAGGACCTTGAGCGTGGCTGAGGTGCACCCATGACCAGCTCGGAAACCGGATTGCATAGCGGAGAAGGTACGGTGGGATTCGAAATGGTCGGTGATCTGTTTGTTAACTTGGCTTTCAAAAACGTATAGGTCTGTAACAGTTTGGATCTAAAGTGTCACTCCCTTTGAAGAGGGGGATGACCGCGGCAGCTTTCCAATCTCTGGGGATCTCAGACGTTACTAAAGAGAGGTTGAACAGGCTAGTAATAGGGGTTGCGACAATTTCGGCGGCTAATTTTAGAAAGAAAGGGTCCAGATTGTCTAGCCCAGCTGATTTGTAGGGGTCCAGATTTGTCAGCTCTTTCAGAACATCAGCTGTCTGAATTTGTGTAAAGGAGAAGCATGGGCAAGTTGCAGCGGAGGGTGCAGAGCCGGGGTAGTGGTAGCCAGGTGGAAAGCATGGCCAGCCGTAGCAAAATGCTTGTTGAAATTCTCGATTATTGTAGATTTATCGGTGGTGACAGTGTTTCCTAGCCTCAGTGTAGTGGGCAGTTGGGAGGAGGTGCTCTTATGGACTTTACAGTGTCCCAAAACTTTTTGGAGTTAGTGCTACAGGATGCAAATTTATGTTTGAAAAAGCTAGCCTTTGCTTTCCTAAATGATTGTGTATATTGGTTCCTGACTTCCCTGAAAAGTTGCATATCGCGGGGGCTGTTCGATGCTAATGCAGTACGCCACAGGATGTTTTTTGTGCTGGTCAAGGGCAGTCAAGTCTGAGGAGAACCAGGGGCTATATCTGTTCTTAGTTCAGAATTTTTTGAATGGGGCATGCTTATTTAAGATTGCGTGTAGAATTTGGCATTGGCGGGTAAGAATGTATAATTCACCAGCCACGTTGGCAGGTGGCCACACTCCGGGATATACAGTGCAAGCATTTCACAAAAATAGTTAATTCAAGTAAGTGAAAGTTGTGATTTATAGCTAAATAATTGCTGCAGTAGCTGTTTTCAAAGTATTTCTGCCGTTTTGTTTCATATCTGGTAATGCATAAAGAAATCTGAATCCTAACGTTATAGCTATCCCACCGTGCGAAGCAACACTGCCTGTCTGAGTGGCTGTGAGCACTGTGAGTGAAGTGCTGAAAGATTGTTTTTAGAAGCAATGCACACAGGCATAATAGTTGGTCAAATTTACTCAAGTGAGACTTTGTCCTCGTGTTTCTTGGCTATTTACATTGTTTTGTTCACAAGCTAGGTTGCTTTTCAATGTTTGAGTTTGCTTCCACTGCTAGCAAAAAGTAACTGTAGGCCTCTACTAGTGAGATTCTTTCAGACACATTGACAACTGGAGTGGCACTGTTACCAAGGTAACCTTAAAGGGGCAGCTCAACATTCTTGTCTGTGATACTTTGGTTAAAAGACTCAGAGTATTAAATTAAATCGGGCAATATACCTCATAACTTCTTACTAGTAATACATTTGTTGTTTTAGAAGCATTAAGCATGCTTATCCATTTATATTTGTTTCTTTGTGTAAATATGGCTTAACAAATATTTTGGCTGGTAAAACAATCAGAGTGACTGGTAGATTTTTTTATCTCCCTGCCGCAGTGGCTGATATACAAAAAAGTTTGTTTTAGGCCATGGTCTCCACCCACTGAGGAAACTAGTAGTATAGCATATAGTATAAAGCAGGGATCATCAACTAGATTCAGCCACGGGCCGATTCTTTTCTTGAGCGGATGGTCAGTGGGCCGGAACATTATTACAAATAATTTGTAGACTGCAAATTGACCGCAAGAGGCCCAAACATATATAACATTTGACTAAAACATAATCATTTCAAACCTTGCTTACATTTGTATACAATTACATATAGTGCATTCGGAAAGTATTCAGACCCCTTGACTTTTTCCACATTTTGTTACGTTACAGCCTTATTCTAAAATTGATTAAATAATAGTTTCTTATCTACACACAATGATGACAAAGTGAAAACAGGTTTTTAAACGTTTAAACAGACTTGAACCCGTTCGAACATCTCTGGAGAGACCTGAAAATAGCTGTGCAGCAACGCTCCCCATCCAATCTGACAGAGCTTGAGAGGATCTGCAGAGAGGAATGTGAGAAACTCCCCAAATACAGGTGTGCCAAGCTTGTAGCGTCATACCCAAGAAGACTCAAGGCTGTAATCGCTGCCAAAGGTGCTTCAACAAAGTACTGAGTAAAGGGTCTGAATACTTATGTAAATGTGATATTTCTGTTTTTTATTTTTAATACATTTGCAAACATTTCTACAAACCTGTTTTTGCTTTGTCATTATGGGGTATTGTGTGTAGATTGATGAGGGGGGGAAAATAAAATAAAATTAAGAATAAGGCTGTAACGTAACAAAATGTGGAAAAAGTCAAGGGGTCTGAATACTTTCCGAATGCACTGTACATGTCAGTACATACACACAACAAGTAGGTCACATGGGAGAGAGGCATTGTGCCATGAGGTGTTGCTTTATTTGTTTTTTGAAACCAGGTTTGCTGTTCACTTGCGCTATATAAGATGAAAGGGAGTTCCATGCACTCATGGCTCTGTATAATACTGTACTATACTCCTCTCTCTCTCCCCACCAGGCTACTGAGGGATGCGGTGCAGGACCCAGCGTTTGGCCGGAGGTACGACCAGGTGCTGGGGGCCCTGCTTTGTCTGTGTGGGGCCGGCCTTAGGGCCGAGCTGGACAAACAGACCCGCCTTGTCACTCTGCTGGGGGCGCTGGCCGAGAAGGTCCGGCAGGCCGGGGGCTCCACACGACAGGTGAGAGGGCCAGGAGGCGTGCGCACACACACCAACCGACAGAAACACACACACACACTACTAGAACACTATCTACTATACCTCAGGGAGCCTCTATAAGGGCTTGATAACACTTTATTTTACGGTCTGCTGTTAATCGTGTATTTAGTTATGGTCTGGATGCTTTGTTTAACTACTTTTGTTAAATATGGTACCAGTTATTTACCAATTGTGTTTAAGTGCCCATGTTTTACGTCATAATTTCAACCGTAATGGCTTGACATTAACTCAACTATTTGTGTGTGTCCAGATGGTGCTCCAGGAGGGTCTGGAGAGGGTGCAGTCGTTCTTCCAGAGGAACAGCTGCAGACTGCCCCTCAGCCCCAGCCTGGAGGCCAAACAACTCAACATCAAGGTAAGAGTATTGTCCACCAATGGAAACAGTAACCCAAAGCATGACCAGCCTGGTCCCAGGTCTGTTTCTGCCGTCTTGCCAACTCCTATGGTCATTGTCATACAAGACGGCACAAACAGACCTGGGACCAGCAAAAAGTTTGACCATACACTCAGAAAATGCCCATTTGACCATGGATCACTTGTTTGGTCCATCACTTACTGGAGGCTGACATGTCAACTGATCAGCATAATTTCACTATGACCCATACTGTAGTTGTCCTAGTGACTTATCAAGCCGTCATAACCTCCACCATCCAAATGCTGACTGGCACTTAATCTACAGGTCACTTCAGTTACTTCCAAGTTACCCCCACAACCTCTTGTAAGATGCCATTGACTAGAATACAATATCTGGGCCTGTACATCTACAGTAAGTGTGTAGGAATGTAGGAATGCTCTTCCCTGGACTTGCCTGCTCCCCTTTGCCTTTCTGACTGAGCGTTGTGCTCGGTCCGCACACCCCCGCACGTTTCTCAGAGCTGGGCAAGTGTGTGTGGGGGTGTGACTGCGTGTGTGCGTTTGGGTCCCGTATGTTTTTGTTTATGAGATGATCTGTATGTGTTGTTAGAGTGTGTGTTGGGCTCTCACCGGTGTATCTGACCCCAATCTCGTACCAGACAAGCCAAGGCGATGCCCCCTCAACTGAATAAAATCCCCCCTTTGTCTCCCAAAAGCAGGCCAGTGCTCCCATGGCCAAGGCAGGCTTGTATAACTAACCACAGGCTCTCTCTCTCTTTCTCTCTCTCTCTCTTTCTCTCTCTTTCACTCTCCTCTCTCTCTCTCTCTTTCACTCTCCTCTCTCTCCTTCACTCTCCTCTCTCTCGCTCTCTCTCTCTCTCCTTCACTCTCCTCGCTCTCGCACTTCTCCTCTCTCTCTCCTTTTCGCTCATTTTCTCTCTCTCTCTCTCCTTCACATTCTCTCACTCCTTCACTCTCTCTCTCCTTCACTCTCCTCTCTCTCTCTCCTTCACTCGCCTCTCTCTCTTTCATCTCCTCCTCCTCTCTCTTTTTGCCCTCTCTCTCTCTCCTCACTCTTCCTCTCTCTCTTTGCCCTCTCTCTCTCTCCTTCACTCTCCTCTACTTCGTCTCTCTCTCTTTTGTCCCTTCATCCTCTCTCTCTCCTTTGCTCTCCCTCTCTCTCTCTCTTTTGCTCCTCTCTCTCTTCTCACTCTCCTCTCTCTCTCCTTCACTCTCTACTCTCTCTTCACTCTCTCTTCCTTCACTCTCTCTCTTCTCTCTTTTCTCTCCTCTCTCTCTCTTCTCTTCCTCTCTCTCTCTTTGCTCCTCTCTCTCCTCTCTCTCTCTCTCTCTCTCTCTCCTTCACATCTCTCTCTCTCTCTCCTTCGCTCTCCCTCTTCCTCATCTCTCTTTTGCTCTCTTGCTCCTACTTCGCTTCACCATCTCTCTCACACTTTTGCTCTCTCTCTCTCTCTCGCTTTCGCTCTCTCCTTCACACTCTCTCTCTCTCTCTTTGCCTCTCTCTCTACTCTGGGTACAGTCATGCTCCTTCTTCAACTCCAATGCGGTGCCCCTGAAGCTGGCCCTGGTGAACGCCGACCCTCTGGGAGAGGAGATCAATGTCATGTTCAAGGTGGGAGGCTGGGTTGGGAGTGCAGTTTTGCCTTTTAAATCATAATAAATAAGAGGGGGGACCTGATTCTTGATCAGCACTCCTAGACAGATTAGACTACTAGATTATATTTCTATGACGCCAGACTCAATGAAATATGCACTTCCAAGTTCCATGAACAAGCAATTTATCAGAAATTTAATACTTAGTAGTCCTTGACATGTCACTGGAAATATCTCGAGACATTCTCTGCATGAATTACTGCACAGTTAGCCATTGCTTTGGGAGAATTTGAACCATGGAGGAATGCAGGAATACATTCTAAAGAGTTCCCTTGGTTTTGATTTGCTGCTGTAACAGTGTCAATTTTTTCCACATAGAAAAGAGATAAGTTTCTACGCTCGTTTGCATCTTGTCTTTGATTTCAGAGTTAAAACAGCGCCACCTGGTGGCATGAGAAGAACACAACATCAGGCCCTGTCAATAGAATGTGTAGGGGAGTCTTTGCTTGACCAGAAATTCACACACACATGGAAATGAAACGCTGAATGAGAATATAAGACTACGTCTCTGTGGATGGTAACTTGGGGGCGGCAGGTAGCCTAACGGTTAGAGCGTTGGACTAGTAACTGAAAAGTCCCTAGTTCGAATCCCCGAGCCGACAAGGTGAAAATCTGTTGACGTGCCCTTGAGCAAGTCACTTAACCCTAATTGCTCCAGGGTCACGTTGATAATGGCAGACCCTGGCTGCAACAAACACATTTCCAATTCACACCTGCGTATTAATACGTATTAATACACGCTTGTACATGTGGGGAAATAGAACAAATATAAGCACCCACCTAATTATAGATATTATAACTAACGTGATTCCTGGTCTGTGTGTGTCTGCCTGCGTGTGTGTGTGCGTACATGTGTGTGTGCTTCTGCGTGCGTGTGTGTGTGTGTGTTAGGTGGGAGAGGACCTGAGGCAGGACATGCTGGCTCTGCAGATGATCCGGATCATGGACCGCATCTGGCTTCAGGAGGGACTGGACCTGCGCATAGTCAACTTCAAATGCATCTCCACTGGCAAAGACAAAGGTACTAATACACATTAGAATTCACATTCCACTAAATATCACCAGTTAAATCATTCTGATTTGAATGAGAATAATTATTTACCCCATGACAAAACAACCTCTCTTGCTCTGATTTCTAACATTCTGGCCATTTAAAAAGCTAGCTTCAAAGTGGATGCACCTGCACCGTCAGGGGCATATTTAAATATTGTTAGATTGCTTATGGACTTGGTGCTTGGCGTCACCCTGCGTCACATTACATCCGGTTTACTAATTGTAATTCAATACGTACTCATGCCGTGTCTGTAGTTGTGACATAGTGTGTGTGTTGTGGTGCTGTGTGTGTGTTGCCAGGTATGGTGGAGCTGGTGCCGTCCTCAGACACCCTGAGGAAGATCCAGGTGGAGTACGGCGTGACGGGCTCCTTCAAGGACAAGCCCCTGGCAGAGTGGCTCCGCAAGTACAACCCTGCTGAGGACGAGTACGAGAAGGTAACTGTCTGACCCCTAAACTTGACCCTCTAACCTTTGAACCCAGACTCCGACTGAGGATGAGGTTGAGAAGATGAACAAGTGACGATAATGATATCTTCTGTTTATTTCTTGTCTGCCTGCAATGTGCATATGTAACACAGAGATTTTTCCTTTATCAATGCACTATTTTGCTGAAAAGTCCCAATTTCAGTATGCAGATCTCTAGTGAGGTTTCAGCCTATTAGAGGGAGAACCAGATACTGTAGGACTTTTTACACTGAGCTGAATCGAGCCAAGTCAAACTGAGCTGGCCTGGTTACACATCCACCATAGTTGCTGGAACCTTGCTGAAGAGGACAATGTTAAAAGAAAATATCCAAGCCAGCGCGGTTTGGGACGGCACGATAGTGTGAAAATGGTATATGTGTCTCACTCCTCCTCTCTGCCCCTCTAGGCGTCGGAGAACTTCATCTACTCGTGTGCGGGCTGCTGCGTGGCCACCTACGTGCTGGGTATCTGCGACCGCCACAACGACAACATCATGCTGCGCTCCACCGGTCACATGTTCCACATCGACTTCGGCAAGTTCCTGGGCCACGCCCAGATGTTCGGCAGCTTTAGAAGGTAAGCGTGTGGTCTAGCGGTCTAAGCCGCTGCCTCCAGTGCTAGCATGGGTTCAAATCTGACCCACAGCACACTTTCTCCCCTACCTTTACTGTTTCTCGCTAACCTATTCCCTCCCCTTAGTAAAAATCAAGAGTGTGTCTAGTACAAGTACTAGGGGTAATGGTTTATTGACCTGTAACGAGAACTTGTAAAGATACCATTTGTGCTCTGTGCTTGCACTCAAGATGAGGCCTGAGTGTCTGCTGGTTTTTGTTCTGTCTTTCAAATCAGTGTTCTGTGAAACCAGGTGTATGCACTTGTGTGTAATGACGTACCAGCCAAAAGAGAAAGTAGGTTGCATGTTGTGTTCAGGTTGTGTGATCCATGCGCCACACAACGGGTCATGTAGCCTAGTTACACCAGACCGAAGGCTACGCTCCCTATTTAACCAGGCTACATGACACCTGCCTTGTTGTTTTCTATTCTCCATCTCCCGTGTTTTAGTAAGCTTTTCTCTTTCTCTCTCCCGCACCTCCCTCCCCTTCTCCCAGGGACCGTGCTCCATTCGTGCTGACCTCTGACATGGCCTACGTGATCAACGGGGGAGAGAGGCCCACTAGTCGATTCCAGCTGTTTGTGGACCTGTGCTCCCAGGCCTACAACCTCATCCGCAAGCATTCAGGCCTCTTCCTCAACCTGCTCTCACTGGTAAGATAAGGCTCTGCTGTCAAGTCCTAGCCTGGTTCCAGATCAGTTTGTGACCATAGGAGTTGGCAAGACAGCACAAACAGTTCACATGGAACAACTGCATTGGCCTTTTATAGGAATTCACCTGACATTTCTTAAGCTTGGCATCACAAATAATTCACAAAAATGGAGACAAAAGTGCAGAGGAACACTGTCACAAGGAGTGTTTTTAAAAGTTTTTTTCAAAAGTGTGATGTCAACCTGATAAGTTACTTTGGTGTTGCCTTGGTAATGCCCTTTGTTAGGCCCTGGTGATGGCCCTCTTCTTGGTCTAAGGAATTTCTTTAGTGTACCGTAGTGATTCAAATGCTCTATTCTAGCCTCATAAATCAAACCTCCCTTGCTACAGTATGACCTTCCTCAAGTCATTGGTTTCTAATAGTCTTTTGTTAGTAAATCATTTCGTTGTACATTGTAATGGATTGTAATTGCGTCTTAGACTGTATGCCTTTCTCTGTATTTGTGTGCGATTTGACAGATGACTCTGTCAGGCCTACCAGAGCTTACGGGAGCTCAGGACCTTAAGTACGTGTATGACGCGCTACAGCCCCAGACCACCGACGCAGAAGCCACCATCTTCTTCACCAGGTACTGTCTGTAAAGTCTTTGTTTTTCACAAAGTCTTTGATGAATAGCTTTAAACATGGTGCACCTCTCCACTTTGAGCCTCTGCCACAGTCGTTATTCAGCCTCACAATGCAAAATGCACAAGAATATATCCTCAAGTCTATGTTTAGTAGCTTGAATGGCTTTCGCTTGAACGACTGATGTGAAAAGGCAACCAGTAGCCGCAAATAAAGTATAACTTTGATTTATTGTTCAATTTCAGCAGTGACAATTAATGCAGCACTATACTTGATTTGCAACTGCTGACTGCCCCACAATGCCCAGCTGGTGGCAAAACAATGTCATCACATTTATGTCATTTAGCAGACGCTCTTATCCAGAGCGACTTACAGTTAGTGCATACATTATTCTTTTATTTTTATTTTCATACTGGCCCCCCGTGGGAATCAAACCCACAACCCTGGCGTTGCAAACGCCATGCTCTACCAACTGAGCTACCTCCCTGCCGGTCATTCCCTCCCCTACCCTGGACGACGCTGGGCCAATTGTGCGCCGCCCCATTGGTCTCCCGGTTGCGGCCGGCTACAGCAGAGCCTGGATTCGAACCAGGATCTCTAGTGGCACAGCTAGCACTGCGATGCAGTGCCTTAGACCACTGCGCCACTCGGGAGATGAACACAATAGAACTCCCAGTTACAATCCTAAAACATTCATGTGAAATGCTACTATTTATCCATTTCATCTTCCATTTACCTCCAGTCTGTCTTCAGTCATTTTCACAGAGGGTTCGCAGGAAACACGGCTAATAGTGTATCATTCAAAAACATACTCCCTTTGTCTGAAGTTGAACCTCCCCTCCCTCCATCCAGGTTGATTGAGACCAGCCTGGGCAGCGTGGCCACCAAGTTCAACTTCTTCATCCACAACCTGGCCCAGATGCGCTTCTCAGGCCTGCCGTCCAACGATGAGCCCATCCTCTCCTTCTCCCCCAAGACCTACACACTGAAGCAGGAGGGACGCATCCGCGACGCCTCCATCTTCTCCTTCCAGAAGAGATACAACCCCGATAAGCACTACGTGAGTCTCTAACCATAGATGTACATATATTGACGTGTTTGTATGAATTGGTCTCACTGCTGCTGCACTGACTGGGCAAAGCTGCCCTATAGGGATGTTAGAAGAACACATATCTGGCATATAAAGAGTTTGCATAAATCTACATATAGAGAAGTCATAACATGAATGGAATTCTAAACAAGATAAGCTAAAACCCTATTTTTTCCTCCCCCTCTTCCTCCTCCTCCTGTAGACGTATGTGGTGAGACTCCTGCGAGAGGGGCAGAGCGAGGCCCAGTTTCTCTTACGCACCTTCGACGAGTTCCAGGAGCTCCACAACAAGCTGTGCATCCTCTTCCCTCTGTGGAAGCTGCCAGGGTACGCACACACGTGCACACGCACATTTGGGGAGAACCCACATTTTTAGGTATTGCTCATAGTACCTGAAGCTGTCTGGAAGGGGCATAGCAGCACCCTGTTCCCAAAAACACTTTGTAAAGTTTGAAAGTCTGCCATATTTTACCTTAGAAAGCCAAAGGTAACCTCAGATTTTACAACAATAGTAATAATATTGATAACTATTTGCATTTTTTTGTGCTTTAACTCAAAGTGCCTTATATTGTATGTGAGTAATGCTTCCCTTCCACCCCCAAAGTGTAGCCCCCACTTCTACCACAGATGCACCCCTTCTTGTTAGTGCACTAAACTTTCCCCGTCCCCTCCCTAGGTTCCCTAATAGGATGGTGCTGGGCCGTACACACATAAAGGACGTGGCGGCCAAGAGGAAGATTGAGCTCAACAGCTATGTCCACAACCTGTTGAGGAGTTCCACTGAGGTCACCCAGGTGATTGACACACACACAGTTATAAAAGCCCAACACACTCCATTTTCACGAATTATTTTGGTCACATTTTAGGGTAGTCCAGATAGTCCATCTGTATGTGCTCTACAGATTGTCATACTATCAACAAATTATCTGTTGATAAGCAATTGCTTGCTAACGTTAGAGTTAGGATGAGGGTTAAGGTGGGTTAGAGTTAGTAGATAGTTAGTTGAAAGGTTACTGATAGTCTGCAGAGCATCTACAGATGGACTATCCAAATAAAGTGTTACCAATATTTTCTCTCTTTCTCTATTAGTGTGATCTTATCTATACATTCTTCCATCCGATCGCGAGAGACGACAAGACGGAAGGATTCGAGGCGATAGCCAAAGCACCAGGTAAATCTCAGTCCTACTGTGTATACAGTGAGGGAAAAAAGTATTTGATCCCCTGCTGATTTTGTATGTTTGCCCACTGACAAAGAAATGATCAGTCTAATTTTAATGGTAGGTTTATTTGAACAGTGAGAGACAGAATAACAACAACAAAATCCAGAAAAACGCATGTCAAAAATGTTATAAATTGATTTGCATTTTAATGAGGGAAATAAGTATTTGACCCCCTCTCAATCAGAAAGATTTCTGGCTCCCAGGTGTCTTTTATACAGGTAACGAGCTGAGATTAGGAGCACACTCTTAAAGGGAGTGCTCCTAATCTCAGCTTGTTACCTGTATAAAAGACACCTGTTCACAGAAGCAATCAATCAATCAGATTCCAAACGTTCCACCATGGCCAAGACCAAAAAGCTCTCCAAGGATGTCAGGGACAAGATTGTAGACCTACACAAGGCTGGAATGGGCTACAAGACCATCGCCAAGCAGCTTGGTGAGAAGGTGACAACAGTTGGTGCGATTATTCGCAAATGGAAGAAACACAAAATAACTGTCAATCTCCCTCGGCCTGGGGCTCCATGCAAGATCTCACCTCGTGGAGTTGCAATGATCATGAGAATGGTGAGGAATCAGCCCGGAACTACACGGGAGGATCTTGTCAATGATCTCAAGGCAGCTGGGACCATAGTCCCCAAGAAAACAATTGGTAACACACTACGCCGTGAAGGACTGAAATCCTGCAGCGCCCGCAAGGTCCCCCTGCTCAAGAAAGCACATATACATGCCCGTCAGAAGTTTGCCAATGAAAATCTGAATGATTCAGAGGAGAACTGGGTGAAAGTGTTGTGGTCAGATGAGACCAAAATCGAGCTCTTTGGCATCAACTCAACTCGTCGTGTTTGGAGGAGGAGGAATGCTGCCTATGACCCCAAGAACACCATCCCCACCGTCAAACATGGAGGTGGAAACGTTATGCTTTGGGGGTGTTTTTCTGCTAAGGGGACAGGACAACTTCACCGCATCAAAGGGACGATGGACGGGGCCATGTACCGTCAAATCCTGGGTGAGAACCTCCTTCCCTCAGCCAGGGCATTGAAAATGGGTTGTGGATGGGTATTCCAGCATGACAATGACCCAAAACACACGGCCAAGGCAACAAAGGAGTTGCTCAAGAAGAAGCACATTAAGGTCCTGGAGTGGCCTAGCCAGTCTCCAGACCTTAATCCCATAGAAAATCTGTGGAGGGAGCTGAAGGTTCGAGTTGCCAAACGTCAGCCTCGAAACCTTAATGACTTGGAGAAGATCTGCAAAGAGGAGTTGGACAAAATCCCTCCTGAGATGTGTGCAAACCTGGTGGCCAACTACAAGAAACGTCTGACCTCTGTGATTGCCAACAAGGGTTTTGCCACCAAGTACTAAGTCAAGTTTTGCAGAGTGGTCAAATACTTATTTCTAACATTTTTGACATGTGTTTTTCTTGATTTTTTTGTTGTTATTCTGTCTCTCACTGTTCAAATGAACCTACCATTAAAATTATAGACTGATCATGTCTTTGTCAGTGGGCAAACGTACAAAATCAGCAGGGGATCAAATACTTTTTTCCCTCACTGTATGTCAAATCAATTCAAATGTTATTTGTCACATGCGCCAAATACAACAGGTGTAGATCTTACCGTGAAATGCTTACTTACAAGCCCTTAACCAACAATGCAGTTTTAAGAAAAATTAGAGTTAAGAAAATATTTACTAAGGTAAAAAAAAAAGTTACCCAATAAAATAACAATAACAAGGCCATATACAGGGGGTACCGGTACCGAGTCAATGTGCGGGGGTACAGGTAGGTCGAGGTAATTGAGGTAATAAGTACATGTAGGTAGCGGTAAAGTGACTATGCATAGATAAAGTGAGTAGCAGCAGTATTTTAAAAAAGGGAGGGTGGGGGGGTGGGGTCAATACAAAAATAGTCTGGGTAGCCATTTCATATGTATAGCCATTGTCGTAGCTACAGTTTTGAAAGAGTGATTTGTTCTGCAGAGGCGCCACCGTTGAGTCCCACCTCAGGCAGAGTAGAGGGGGAGGTGAAGCTGTCCGTGTCCTACAGGAACAGCACACTCTTCATCATGGTCATGCACATCCGAGACCTGGTGAGTAGGGTGGCTAACAGGGCCCAATCCTAACTAGCGCACAACTCAAACTTTTGGCAGTATAATGAATTGATACCTTTATCCTTAGCCCCACATATCTCAAGGGCCATTTATTTGCCTCTGATGGGATAAATAAAGTTGTATGGAATTGAATTATGTATGTGAATCCTCAGTTTGGCCTTAGCTAATGCTCCACTAAGCATATCCATGTCCACCTGCCTGCTCATAGGTATCTGAGGAGGGGACAGACCCTAACCCTTATGTGAAAACCTACCTGCTCCCAGACCCCCACAAAACCTCGAAGTGCAAAACAAAGATATCCAGGAAGACCAGGAACCCAACTTTCAATGAAATGGTGAGTGAAATCAGTGTGGCATGTGGGTCATTTTCATTAGGCCACCGTAGCAAATTGTCATAGCTAACGGCTTTGTGTCCTGACCGACTGTCACTTTGTAACTGTTCTCCTCATCTGTCTTTGTGACTAATGCAAGTTGCTGCTAACGCGTGTTAACTGCTGGCAACTCGTGTTAACTGCTCTGACTACCTCCTCCTCAGCTGGTGTACAGTGACTACAGCAAGGAGACCCTTGGGCTGCGGGAGCTGCAACTGAGCGTGCTTAGTGCCGAGTCGCTGAGAGAGAACTGCTATCTGGGCGGCGTCACGCTCAAACTCAAAGACTTCGACCTCAGCAAGGAGACGGTCAATTGGTACAAGCTGACCGCCGTGCCCTACTTCTAGACGACTCCACCCAGGAACAACTCCACTTCTCACCTCTTCGAGAACTCTAGAAATACACCCATATAAAGGGCAACGGAACTGGCCACCCCCAGGGGGGTGCCTCTAAACTCCACCCGCTTCCTCCTCAAGCTCACCTCATTACCAACCTCTTTGGCCCTGTCCAGAAAACCCTCCTACCCCCTAAGGCCCTTCATGTAGATCCTACAGAATTATAAGCAATATGGTTGTAGCACCGACCTTTCAGATCTACATAAGTGCCTAAGGCATAGGGGCTAGGCTAAGGGTTGTTTCTGGGTGTGGGGCCTTTCTCTCTCACAGTATCACACACACTAATCATGGTTGTTTCCTCGCCGTAGTAAACAATCTCCACTTATTTTGTTTGTTCCTAAACTATAACACGAGAGCTGTAATGTTTTGTACATTTTGACATTAGAGGACCAAAATGGCTTACTTTCAGAAGAGTATATATAGATTGACACATTTATTTTTTAAAAAGGGGCTCATTTTTACATTAACTTTTTTCTACATAGACATATAGGAAGCGTCTGGTTTCCTGCTAACCTAGCTGAGAATGTCTGGAGATGTGTCCGTCTCAAACCAGACTCCAGGAAAGAGAGTGATCTTGTGTTTCCCAATCATGTGCCAAAAGAACTGATGATGATGGCAAACCACTTCCAAAGGGGAACCGAACAGGGTGCCTTGTTTGTGTTCACAGTCTCTTTTACGCTCCACTTTAACCTTATCACAGTATATTTGATTAAAATTGTGATATCTCCAATTGAAATATAAATCTATTCTGTCAAATAATGTCAACAGTTCTTCCACTGTGAGCGGGGTTCTGGATTAGCATCAGAAGGTGTTGGAACGATCGACTCCAACTTGTCTACCATGTCTTTTTAATGGTAATTCCTTGACTCCTTTTCACTGCACACTTTTCAGGATTTGTATCACAGAAACTGTTGTCGGTGCATTTGATGGTGTAGGATAAGGTTGCCTCTAAACACTGATCCAAGGCCAGATGTTATATGGCCACCTATTTGTTTAAGGGTAAAATGTATGGGGGTAAGCTGATCCTAGATCTGTGCTGTAGTGGTAACTTTGACCTGGAGCCATCTGGACAAAAAAAGGGAAAGACATCCAGGGCAAGAGATACGCTGCTGTACTCTGAGCCGACTACAAAACGAAAGATGAAATAATGAATTTATCCTGGAGGGTTTTTAAAGAGAATATAAACAAAGACAAATAGTGACTTGATCCACTCTTTTAATGACTGAAAAACAAATACATGCTGAGTTTGTATTAACATGGCCAGTTATTTATTCTTAATTGGTTACCTTAACCCGAATGAATCGGTGTGTACTGTAATCCCTCTTTCCTAAAGTGAATTAAATGTTTTTTGAACAAAGACTGACTTTCATTGTGTGTCTTATTATTTATGTTGGGAACGGGCCAATCGAATCAGTGATAATTATCTCAATGAGAATCAATGTGCATCATCATGTTGTATTTCTATGCACCAGATGGTCTCTTTTGAGTTGGAAAAGTCAATGAAAAGCATTCTTATTTTATTTGGCTCACTTCACTTAAAAGAGCCTTTCATTTGGCTCCCAAACGGCTCTTTGTTCAGTAGTGCTTAGAAATTGCCCTAAAACCATGAACAAATTGTAAATCTAATTTAAAGCCTAAAACTTTGCCTACCCTTATATCAGATCATGAAATGTGAGTTCAAATACATTTTTACCTGATCAAATTAGATGGCCTGCAAAAAAATGAAAAGCTCTCCTCACTATATTGTTGCTGCACTGAGGAATTACCATCTTCTGACAATGTTTTTATAATTTATCTCCAGAAAATAGATGTCTGGAGCGCAAAAAGCAATAGTAACAGCACATACAACGGGTAGGTCTAATCCTGAATGCTGATTGGTTAAAGCCGCATTCCAGCCGGTATCTATTCCACAAATTACCACCGGCTAAATCTATTATGTTAAAATACCTATTTACTCTGTTCCATCTCACTGCGCAATCCACTGTCATCAGCCCAGTCAGGCACTTTTAGAAATTTGATCTCCACTATAAAAAGCATCTAGGCATTATCTCACATTTCAACAGCGACATTTGCAACATTGTTTCAATATTCAAATTCGATCTCCAGCTGTCCTATAGTAATGAACGTGTCGGGAGTCAGGACGAGATAGATAGGAAACAGTTTAAACAAATGCAACTACTTTGCTGTTATTCTGGCTGCTTTTTGACGTGACTGGAGTTTAGCCGTAGTTGGCTAGCTAGCAAGCAAGGGATAAGAACGTTGCCAGCCAGTATGGCAATGGAACATGTAGAACGAACGACTGGGTCGCGTCCATTGATACAGAACAAAAAGACTGAACGACTGAACCGATAGAACGAACGACCAGCCGGCTTGGGTAGAAACCCTAGATTTGTGTCGGACTATATCTTGTGGAAGGATGAAATAGTATGAATAAATTCATCAAAATAACGTTTATTTTTATTTTTATATGTCAATCATTATTTGAATATATGTTGGTAACGCATTGTATAAAAGTGATAATGCACTCAAAACCGGTGTTTGGAGGATATATTGGCACGGTTTGCCGGCCCTCGACTTCATCTCGTTCCTAACAACACCAGTGCCAATATATCCTCCAAATACCGTCTTCTTGGGCATTATCATTTAAGTAATACACTAGATCAGGGTTCTTCAATTCCGGTCCTGGAGGGCCGAAACACCTCTGTTTTTCATCCTCTCCTTCTAATCAGGGGCTAATTCAGATATGGGACACCAGGTGAGTGCAATTAACTACCAGGTAGAAATAGAAAACAGAAGTGTTTCGGCCCTCCAGGACCGGAATTGAAGAACCCTGCACTAGATGCAGTCGCACCTCTAAAAACAAAAAGCATTTGTCACAAGAAATTTGCTAAGATCAATGGAGACACTAACGTTTTTTTAATCCTGTATCTCTCGACACATTCACGAAAATAGTCATGGCCTCTAAACCTTCCAGCTGCCAACTGGACCGTATTCCAAATAAACTACTGAAAGAGCTACTTCCTGTGCTTGGCCCTCCTATGTTGAACATAATAAACGGCTCCCTAACCTCCGGATGTGTACCAAACTCACTAAAAGTGGCAGTAATAAAGCCTCTCCTGAAAATGCCAAACCTTGACCCGGAAATGTTTTACAACTATCGGCCTATATGGAATCTCCCATTCCTCAAAAAAAAAAATATATGAAAAAGCTGTTGCGCAGCAACTCACTGCCTTCCTGAAGACAAATAATGTATACGAAAGGTCGCTGGTTCAAATCCCAGAGCCGACAAGGTGGAAAAATATGCCGTTCTGCCCTTGAGCAAGGCAGTTAACCCCCAACTTCTCCCTGGGCAGAATGACACCCACCTGTCTTGATCAATGAGATGGTTTTGGAAAAGATTATGGCAGCATGTATATTATTTGATTTGTGCATATTGTACAAAATAAATAAACAACTCCGCATTTTCTGATTTCCTGGTTTCATGGGCAACTAGCCACAGGAGTTTATAAGCCACCGGACCCTTCTAAAAATAATTAAGGAAGTACTGCTAAGTTTAGTTTGGTTGAAATTCTTCTGTAATTGGTGAGTATGGAGCCAATAATAAACTCCGTATGGGAGCTTCACATACCAGGTTACAGAATGTTGCTTAGAGTGCTCATTTCCTGGTCTACTCGCTGAACCCAGACTCCCAAGTGTATATGAAAAGGTTTGTCAATCCAGGCATGGATGATGTCAGTGTACTCCTTAAAATCGGGAGTAGCCTATCCTTCCAAACCTGGTTGAGGAACATTTTCATATCCATTAGGGGTCTGGGTTCCGTGAGGTGGTCATTGGATGAACAATCAGCCCTCATCATCATACTCCGGCCATCAATGGCATAATACTTTTATGGTGTTCTTTTCCAGTGGCTGAAGCTGACATCTGATAATGTCAAGGAACATATATCTTCAAGCTGGCCAAGAAGGGATTGGCCCCATCTCAGATTGTTAAGTGCAACATAGCAAATACCACATGGCAGCAAATGGTTTCCCTCTGCAGCAGACAGCTGACAGTCCATGAATGAGAGAGCTTAATCTATTCATTGTTGTTGAATTGTCATTTTTTGGTAGGTTCTGAATACAGCTGGATTCAGGCAACAGGGGTGCTTGTCTGTTTCCTCATGGGCAAACTGCTTTGTTGTCACAGGTATCCAACCAAGATTAACCTCTACAGGATCTGTGTCCAGTACACAGGACGGTTGAGCTAACGTGCACTAATGTGATTAGCATGACTGTTGTAAGTAACAGCAAACTTTCCTGGACACATGGGCAGAAAGCTTAAATTCTTGTTAATCTAACTGCACTGTCCAATTTACAGTAGCTATTACAGTGAAAAAAATACCATGCTTTTGTTTAAGGAGAGTGCACAACAACAACAAAACGTATCACGGCAACTGGTTTGATACATTCACCTCTGAAGGTAAATAATGTACTTACATTCAGTAATCTTGCTCTGATTTGTCATTCTCAGGGTCCCAGAGATAAAATGTAGCATAGTTTTGTTTGATAAAATCCATTTTTATATTCAAATGTAGGAACTGGATTCTACAGTTTGAACCCCTGCTGTCTCTGGCTCCACACCCACCCCGCCCTGCCATCTAGATGTGTGAAAGTTAGTGTATAAGCTAATGATCCATCATGTATAATATTCCTGGGAGTGTGTAAACTTACATTTTGTATTACCGTATAATTTTTGTATGTTCTCTATAGTAATGTACTTGAAAATGTATCAATTTACCAATTCGGCACATTTGGGCAGACTTGATACAAAATAGTCCAGTTTCTTATATCTAGGGTAGGCCCGGGACAACACCAGTATCGCGATACTCGTTAGTATCGTGGCAAAGGAACAAAACGATTAGTTACCGGAGTGTAACTCCAGTTCTATGAGTGGAGCGGAGCCCCATAGGGGAG